TTGCCTCGGAGATAAATACAAACGTACTGGCTTATTCAAGCCATTTCGAGCGGCACACTTGGCCCGAGCGATATTGTGGTACTGCCAGTTGAATGATAAAAAATTACTGGAAATATGTTTTCGATATATTTTTTTCATAAACAATGTTTTTTTCTTTTGTTTTCATCTAGACGATTCTTCAAAAATTTAATAATTATGCTATCGACACAGTTCTACTGAAATATATGTATAATTTAATAGAAATCACACCTAATAAGTAATCTGTTCTTTAATCGTGTTTATTGATAATATAATATTTTCTGTCTATTTAATTAAGTTTGAAATTAAATAAAAACAGACAACGTTACACTGTACATTGTATAATAATATAATAACAAAAAATAAATAAACATAAGTGAATATAATTCATCGCATCCTGAGTTTCTCAATAATTGGCAACTCAGCGTTACAGCTTCACTATCTGTGAATCACGAGCACACCCGAACGCGAACCGACTTCACCCGAACAGTGTTCAATCGCCGGAAAACATTTTCCGCGCCATTTTTCCTGGCGTAAATGCGGGTGTTTTTGGCACCCTTCAACGTTTAAGGGTCATTGTCCACGTTTACTATGTGTAAGTCTTGAATAGAGATGTAATTTTTACTTTTTACGTTTTAAAATTCACATCTAATAAATTGTTTTGATATTGTATTACACGCAAAACACACATACACATAACATTTATTAACTTCTTAAAAAAGTATTTGTAATAACAAATGAGTTATATTTGTGAAAGAATGTTACTTGGATGATTTTGTGCAAAGTCATACGATTCCGGACTCCACACCTCGTGCTTCTTATTTAGAATTAGGTATCTTAGGTATTAGAATTCATTTTGAACCTGTACATACTGAAGGCTGTTTTCATACGATAGTTAAGATCCAAATAGAATCATGTTTAAATTCATTCGAGTGGAATTGTCGCTTTATTTATGGGCCAGTAACACCAGGACAGCTATGAGTACATGTGTCAAAATAAAAAGTGTATTTTTTTAAAATACATAATATACGCGTATTGCTTACTTAATTATATCAGATTACACTAAGATTTCGTTTTATCTATGCTATCAATATTTTTGTAACAATTGTAGTTCAGACCTTGAAGTCAATATCGGATCAGCCGTGTGACTAATATTGCTTTGTTTTCGTATTTTGTTTCCAGTTACACAACATTTATTAAAGTTATAGATGAGTAGACTTGTTCAGGGAATATCTGGTGTTCATTAAATACCAGAGCCTCGCATATACGGACTTTAGTGGTCACTAAAGGTCATTAATACTTGGATCTGGTTACGGTTAGGAACATCAACAAAAATATTATTATTATGCTTGTATATGTAGTTTTCTTTACTATTTTTATTGTATAGTATAAGTAGGTAAATAAGTTCACGGCCCATCTGATATTAAATGATTATTTATAGTGGCTATACCTACTACCTTAGAAGCTGGAATGGATGACGTCTTCGCGGTAGAAATTGGTATAAAGGAGGGACGTACTCTTACAATTTACAAAACGCCCACCGCCAGTGAATACCAAATGGGATAATAGTCAAAGAATGCTGCTGCCCGTTCACCAGCCCAGTGACCTCATGGATCCCTTTCACACACTAACAGTGCTTTTGAAAGATACTGGTAGCATCAACAAAGTCGCCAAAGAGTACGACATGAATCATGCCTGTAGTGTCAGCCCGTTGAATTTTTCGCTGGATTTACTCACAGGATTCCAATACCGATAGTATGTGCACACGCAAAACGGCAGCCTTTGAGCTATTAAGCATTCTCTGGAGGCGCTCAACCAATTGTTAGCAAACTTTCCGATTCTGACGGAGCCTTCGAGCTCGCTCAGCCGTCCAAGTTCAGCAGGAATACACCTGGACGATTCGCGATCCTTCTAAAAAACGTTTATTGTTCAGTGAATTACTCAATCACATTTTACAACACCCATGCGAAGATATAGGGTAGTGCTGATCTATGTCGACACTGCACAGTCGAAGTTAACGTATTTCTCGGAAGGTTTTTGTCACACTACCCTCAATGTACGATATGTAGTGTGCGAATAATTTTAGTGAATCGGTATTTTTCATAAATTTTGCGATGATCACAGCAGTGCTTGCGTTTCATCATAATGAAATAAAAGAGTATCAATAATCAAAAGCTACTGAATTGTTGAGTATTTTCGTGCACCTATAGTACGTACTAGTACCTTGGCTCACTTTGACACATGAGTTCGCAGTATATCCCAGCATACAAAAATAGATATAGGACAAAGGTACGGTATTCATAACACCGCCTCCCACAGCAGTTTAGCAAATATATAAATTAGTGAAAGTACTATTAAAGACATTTTCGTAGATGAATTTAAAATTTCAGCTAAAATATCCGCAAAACCTTAACTAAGCTACATTTGATTTTTTTATTCGGTATATAGATGACTGGCTCACATCCCACCTTTTTTATTTCTAAAATAGGTGGCCAAGCTCACGGCCCACCTGGTGTTAAGTGATCACCGAATCCCTTAGACTCTAACCACGTCCATGTCGCCGCCCATCTTGAGACATGAGTTTTAAGTCTCAGCTATTACAGTATAATGGCTGCTCCACCCTAAAAACCGAAACGTATTTTTGCTTCTCGGCCGAAATAGGCAGGGCGGTGGTACCTACCCGTGCGGGCCCGGTGTAAAGTGGGTACATGAATGCTGCCTCCTACTGTGAGTTTATATTTAATAAATATTTGTTCCAATTTTTGCAGCCTTAATTTTTATTACACGGTGTTATTCCTTGATCGTGGAAGTCATTCGTGAACATGTATATAGTACGTATTTCATTAGCAAAATTGGTACCAGCTGGATTTAAACATCGGCACGGTCGTTTGATGCGCTGAGCGTGTTATCCTCAATAGGCCGCCGAAACTACAATATGCCATTGAAAACCGCGACGAGCATTCTGCCTTAGAGTACATAATAAATACTTTTATTCACAATACAATTCAAGTTAGTGACAAATTGTTTAAAAAATAATATGTAATTTTATTATTTAATTTTTTTTATAAAAGCAAATCTTCTATAAACGCGACATTAAACAATAAAAGTTTTAACTATGGTATAAAATGGTTACCGAAGCTCATGGACATAATTACGCCAATGCCGTGTCTACAGCGGACATACCGTAACATAGCTTTGTTCTATCTATTCCTGTTTGCTGAGATGGCCTGTGTCCTCATATGTCAAGGTGAGCCGTGGTACTGGTACGGACCACAGCTGTACTAAATACTCAACCGTTCTGTAGCTTTTAATTATTGATACTATTTTATTTCATAATAATGAAACACAGGGTATGCTGTGACTATCGCAAAATTTATGAAAAACACAGATTTTCTAAAATTATTCGAACACCACTTATCGTGAATTGAGGGTAATGTGACAAAAACCTTAGCAGAAGTGCCTTAGCTTCGGCCATATGGTGTCGGGATAGATTACCACTACTACATGTATGCGCATGATGTTTTAAAATGACCAGCTACCACGAGACATGAGGTTGAACTCTCAATAAAATTACATATATTGTGTAACAGCTGTTTCTCTCTACACGCACGAACGTATGACTGATTCGAAGGAAAAGGACGCAGGGCGTACTGTTGCGTGCGGGCGTATGAGTACCTTTTCAGACTCAGTTTTTAGTTCAGCGAATAAGTTATCATCAAATCGCTGAATTTCCACAACGTTATAAACAATTCTTGAATTAATAGAAAATATTGGCTGCCACCGAAATAGACTAGAGCATGGCACTACCCGTTCAGGGTCAAGAAAAGTGGTTGCCGCAGACTTTTTATTGACACAGAGGGCAGGTCAACTAACAACGGTCCTTTGGATGAAAATCGGCTATTGTCGTTCATACAATTTACTAATTTTTTAACTGCCAGGCGTATTTGTGTCAGCTGAACTCTTTCTTGCCTTAGACACCTTAGCACATGGTTATGCCCACTGAGTTTCTCGCTGGAATTTCTCAGTGTGTCGCGTTTCCGATCCGATGGTAGATTCTGCGAAGCACTGTTCTTGCTAGGGCCAGTGTTAGCAACATTCCGGTTTGAGACCCGTGAGCTCACCTACACGTCAATGAGAAGCTGAAATAGCCTCTCAAGGCTATCAGCATAGAGAAGAAAAAAAACCTGGCTGGCTACTACCGAAACTAGTCAACATCACAATGTGAATGCCATATCCCATTTTATATAAGGTCGATATATCAATTACGTTGTTATAATTTCTGTAAGCTCTACCTAAAAGTCAAGCTTACGTTTCAAGTACATTTCCATTTACGACTTTCGTCTTTTATACTTCAAGTACTCCAAAAAGTAATGTATTTCAATAATGACTATTATTACTTCAAATAGGAATTATATATTATATCTCCTTCGTGAGAGAAATAAGCAGGGTAGTAGCACCTACTCGAGCGGACTTACAATATGTCGTACCGCATTTCGTTGTTTGTTGTTGATTTCATGTTACTTCATCATATGAATTGTCCACGGAGTTACCAGTATTAGGTATTAGGCCTATTTGGAAAGAATTGGACCTACAAGTAAATTTTATTCTTGGCATATTCGCATCATTCGACACGAATACACCGGCCACAGACGCCTGTAAATATTTCTAGGGTTTCTTAATGACAAAGATGTATTCAAAGATAAATATGTAGTCTCACTGTTTCATTAACATAAAATGAATAACGTTGATAATGTAAAGCAATAAATACCTTTGGGTGATAAGATAAAGAGTGCAGCAAACAGATCAAAGCTATCATTTATTGTAGAAGTAGTTACTATATAGACTGATGTAGTTCTAGAGCATTCCGAATAAAATTGATGATAACACCAGGATGAACTTTGAACAGTTTATTATAAAATATTAATAATGCTTTTTTGTATTTTTGTCATTATAAACGTACTTAATAAATAAATAAATAATAATTTAAAAACACGCACAACGTGTGTTTTACAGTATATTTAATCTTACTTTAGTATGTACAGTCAAAGGTAGAAAGTTGTACAAAACAGTTGATATTATGTTGTTCGTATAAAAAAAGGGGTTTGTCCGTATCTAAGATGTTATACGGGATGTCGACGTGGCTGGGAGCGCGGGCTGGCTGCGGGCGCCACCGGAGGAATTTAGCCCTCCGCGGGCGCTTCCGGCGCCGGTTCCTCAGTCCCGGGCTTCGGTCTTTTAGGGTCCCAGCCATCGCACATTCGTCGCAGGAAAGCTGTCACAATTAAAACAATATTAACATCCAAAAAACAAATTTGGAACATCGCGTTATCGGCAAAATGAGTGAGTTAATAATATCGATTTTTGAAATCTGCTTGAAGATAAAGAAGCTTAGAATCTTGTCGATTGACAAATGATATCCGACTTAAAATCGCAAACATTAAAAGCTGGAAATAAGAATAAAAGATAAAGACAGAGAAGCGTAAGCATAAGTCAAACTTTGTACTACTGCCGCGTTCCGACGCACTTACTTACGATCTTATAACTAAAGATATGACGAGTTGTGATGTCTTCTACGCCATGACCTTCTTCAGGAATGCTGTAAACGTATAACAAGTGAATGAGGGAACACACAAACTAAGGACCGTGCCTCACAATACAAGTTCATAGGATTTTGTAAAGTATCGGGTAATCTTTGAATACTAGGGATTAGAGAATCGACAATACATTTTTGTTAATCAGTACAGGAGCAAGACAAGTGTCGTGATAAAGGAGCTTAGAATTCTCAGGGTTTTCACTCGTATTTAAATACAAGGGAAACATTACACTAACTACAAAGGGGCACATGACATAAAATGTATAATTATGCTTACGACTGGATTTCTGGGAGAATAAAAATAAAACAAAAATTACCTGCGTAGGGGATCATGCCGTCATCGTCTTCAGGGTCCATGCAGTCCTTTGTGACTTCAGCGACTTCACTGTCGTCAAGCTTCTCACCTGGTTAATTGGTATAATATCTTTAAAACTACTACTTTTGTATTGATATACATATGTAAGTAATTGATATATTATGTTTAGCTTGTTTATGTTTTATTAAAACATAATAGCTTAACTTATAAGTCAGGAAACTGTACAGGGCTTATTACAGTTTTGAGCAAAAGCTGAATCTAATATTGGAATTAGCAGTATCTCGAACTAAGCTGCGACTTTGCTACCTTATTATAATTAATTTATAAATTACTAGCTGACCCGGCAGACTTCGTAGTGCCTCCTACAAAACCTAAGCTTTTGTATAAAATAAACTTAAAACAAACAAAAGGAATCCACTCGACGGGGGACACATCAAAGAAAAAACAAAATTGTTATTTTTATTTAATTCCGAGCATTTTCATATTTATTTACCTTTTAAGCCTTCTCTGGACTTCCACAACTAATTCAAGACCAAAATTAGCCAAATCGGTCGAGCCGTTCTCGAGTTTTAGCGAGACTAACGAACAGAAATTCATTTTTATATATAATAGAAGATAGAAGATAAAGAACGTAGCTTAGAATAAAGTTTAAATATGTTGAAGTGTGACATGAATTTATGGTGAAAAATTAGTACCTAGTGCAAGAAGCGTGTGTGTGAGCTCAGCGCCAAGCATGAGACCGTTTTCGTTCTTGTCATACAGCTTCAGACATTCCAGGAAATCTTCATACGCTCCCTGGTCTTTGTCTTTCTTTGCTTGGCTGTAGATGGGAAGGAACTCTTCGAGCTGCAAGTTAATTTGATTTATAAAAAAAATACACTGAACAGCTAAAATATAACCAAAAGTATGTATTTAATTTTGATTAACAAACGCTGGAAGGCGCGCCTTGTTATTAACTACACAATAAGGTTTTTAACAAGCTAGTCTTGAGCACTCGTATCAAGCTTCACGTTGTGAGATTTTCAGAAAAAAAAAAAAAAAATATTAAAGATCATGTAGCTTGGAATTTTGTTATATGTATTTGTAAGGTCATGGCTTGTTGTGGTAATCGGTTACGGTCAACAAACCGCGTGGCATTAGATAAGACGTTACTCATAGTCTAATTAAGCTAATATAAATAGATACACACCCGCTCATGCTTTCATTTTCCAACCCAAAACCTCTTTGGGGAAAAATGTGTCAAATGATAGCAAAAGTGACAAGCTGAGCTAGGTAACTAATTAAAAAAAAAATTAGAACATACTGTGAGCAGCTTCTCGCCCTTCTTCTTTGTACCACCGAGTTTCTCGATGGTTGCCAGTGTGGGGTTTGAGTTGAGCGCTCTCAGGAGATCGCCAAGGTTGAAGGCATCGATCTTGCCTTTGCCTTCAAAGTCGTAGATTGAGAAGGCGAAAGACGCCCCTGAATAAACAGATCAAATTAAGATAAGTTTTAATCCATTTCGATAAAATGTCATTTTATAGATTAAGTGCTTTAATGTAATGATGATTGGTATCGGGGACATTCAATTAGATTCATTCTTTTCCATAGAACAAGGAACAAATTTTCCAAAGTTCCAAAGTTTTCAAAAGTTCCAAAGAACAAATACAGCTTCAAATTCGATCGCTAAGCTATGCTTAGCATCAGGCGTTTTATGTTGAAACCGGTATTCAATAGCAACCGATATAGTAAATTTTCTCAAACACTATAATCGATCAAATCATATAGGTATAAACTTTTAGTTTTGTAATTACCTTATCTATTGTTTGAGAATTAAGTGTAAGCTCCATGGATGTTCAAATTATAATTTGATTTTATAAATACACTTCTATCTTGTATAAATAATCCTCACAAACCCCTCTCTATTATTTATTCGAAATTGAATCAGAATAATCCATTCACAGCGTATTCTGAATTATAGTATTTATGAAAACGTTCCAACGAATTCTCGAACATGTTCCTGAAAACGATTGCCAGGTGCTTCGGCGCCGTGTGGGAACGTGTGGGCGGACATTCTTGCCCAGAATAATACTTTTCCACGCTGTGTTTCAATATTCACTGTACAATGAGTCACAGTCTAATATTAGAACACGACTCTGCCCCAATTTAATTTGGGTGCCAAATCCGACTGATTTGTAGTTCATTTATTTTCGTTTCATTTCTCAGTTATCTAAGTTAAGCTGCTCGAAAATCTATCGACGGCACATAAATGGATAGGAGGGCGTTTTAAAAAAAAAAGTATTGGAATCTTACAAAAGCCAATAGAAACCGACAATCTTACTTGATCAAATCTTATCATAAAGAAATAAGGGCAAATTAGAAAGGAGAGATGAGTCTTATTTGATTTTTTACCAAATTGATTGGTAACGTTAACGAACCCATCGAATGAAAATTAAAGCAATTAGATATTAGTGTTATGCAATTTATCAGTTTAAAAAGTGTTTGTTATTTGAGATTTAATAAAATATAGCCCGATTTTGGTACCTCTTCTTCTTAAATTCGCTTAAACTTCAAGCTATTTTAGTTTAATATGATATGACTATAACCACTACAACCAACGTATTTGTAATGTGTATCTATTCGCAAACCAAAACGCAGCTGATCCAAAATGACGACCTTGATAATGATAAATACTGTAGGAAACCTAAATTTACCAAATTATAATCAACGATATAATAAGTATATAAATATATCGATAGATTTATTAATTGTTTTAGTTACTACGCCAAGAACGCCCAAATTTTTGTTTGCAGTGAAATCCGAGCACGGTTTCTCTGTTTGGGCGGACGGCGGTGCCGGATCACGTGACGCTTCGGTTTAAATTTGGAACGTTCTGCGCGCGTCGAATATGAACAGTTGCCGCCAACTTTGCTGACCCGCCTACCACCGCCAATAATTATTTAATTTGATACCATTTGATAATCAATGATACCATTTCATTTCACGATAATACATATTTAAATGTGCAACATTTAGAGATTCCAAAAACTTTTATATTCACAATGATTTTGAAAGAATAACGTCATTAGTGTACGTTATTAATAGTTGATTAACTTCCAGATAAAAAAAATTATAATAAATTCAAACAATCAAACAATACTCACTTTCAACGTCGTTCTTGCTGAGGTCGCTCTGAAAATGACCAAAAATGTTTGGTTATTCCATGTTAACAGATTCCTTAATAAAATAGTTGTGTGATGAATATTAATCTGTGTGTTCTTTTACATATTTGCATGTGTTCGTGTTCGATGATTAAAATGAAAGAAGTCATCCTTGATCGTAGCAGAAGCACAACACTTTTGTACTGCATAATTTGTGAATTCTTCTGAGTCGCCCGCAAACATTCGGATCACGGGGATTTGATCCGCGTTATCCGTCACTGATCTCGTTTTACAGTCCATAGTTCACACTGTACACATTATCACGTTTCCACTGTCATCAGTAACTCACCATTTTGTGTGGTGTTTGTCGGTTCCCTCCCGGTCTTCACTGGCAGACGTTCAGACAAGAAGTGGGGCTCCGTAACTTTTCGCGGGACGGTTTTAACTCGCTTAGATGGCGCACTCGTCTGGATATTTGAGATTTAGCCCAGGAATCAGCCACCGTTCTATTTTCGGCGAAGTAGATCCGTTTCCATGGTGTCTTCGAGTATACGTTCTTGATGCGAGTCGGAGCGAGATAAGCGATTTTCCACCTGCGCTGTTGCGGGGTATCGGGCAACACCAATCCAAATCGTAAATCTACATATACGCTAAACTATTTCGATCAGATCTGAGAGGTGTGATCTCCCTATTATCAAAATGTCGTCTTTAGTGCCAGCTGATGCTTGAAAAATTGATTAATAGCAACAACAAAATTGAGACATAGCTTTATAGTTTTGAAAGTGAATACATACTGCGCAGATGTCACTGTATACGAATCTCAAAAGGCATTTGCATAACAGTACATTTTGATCAATACATTACAGTCATTCATTTGCTAAAAATATCTCTTCGTTCAAATTTATTTCCGCATACATAACAGTGTTAAGAAGTAGTCCAGCGTTATTTAATGAAAAAAATATTATTCAAAAGCAAAATCAGCCACAATCTTATATTATGCAACTTGAGTTGTATGAGCTATTTTTTTGTAGTCCATTTCGAAGCCAAAATAAAAGGAAGTATGGTTTAGCTTGTGTTCATATTTGGGTACGTCGATGGTTATTTTTTTACTAATCTGCTATATGGACTAAGTCATGTTGTCATGGTCTTATTTCTAGATGTTAGTGTAAGAAAAGTCGTCGTGCCGTAAAGGATAAGACGATCGGTATATTTGTATCGAGCGGCCGTGGTGTTCAAATCCCAGAGGCAGGTATCAATATTTGTAATTAAATATGTACTTAGTAAATGTTCATCCAAAGACTGCCATGATGAAAGAGCATCGTGCAATAAAAATCAAACCCATGAAAACTATAACTTGCAACATTACTGGTGGTAGAAGGTCTTGAGCCCGCACGAGTCGTTACCACCACACTTTTTTTTAACGCTACGGAATACGTTTCCGGATACCCTGTCGAGGGGGTAACAAACCGATTAATATCGGACTCGAGCACCTCAGAGCTGAAGAGGGAGAAGAGGAAGACCTATGTTCTCCTCTCGTTCCAATTCCTCGTAGGAGACTATGTCTTGAGAAAGCCGCGCGAGAACCCACCCCACGGAATCGACTACCGACTAAACTCCATCAAACTCATCGGCTAAAAGCATACCTCATAGTGCGCGTCGAGAGATAGCTATCGCCGGTATCCGTCTTTTAACGACAGGATTTCTTCCCAGGAAAGATCCCGAAGGACATCCGGAGATACACCGTGACTGGCGCACAGACCACATCTTGCGCCACCTCACTACTGAACCGACATCTCAGCCCCGGATGCCCCCGCACCAGGCACTCGTCGGTTCCTACGGGAGCTGAATGAGGAATTGGCGCCCTTCCGTTTCACGTTCCTTTACCTCACGGAGCACACTGACCAGGTTGCAGAATCCCACCACGTCCTCCTACGAACTCCGGTCCTCTAACGTGCGGGCGACCACAGCTCGCAAGGAGAGGTATTTCCCCAGCACAAGCAACCCACGCTTTGAGGGCGTGCTGAGCGTAATCATTCAGGGGCTCGCACTGGTGCCACACCGGATTTGATGCCCTTGATGATTTCTGCCGTGAAGCAATTGAAAGGTGAATTGAAGTGAAGGATTGAATTTGAAGGGTGGGGCAGCCGTTGTACTGCAAAACTGAGGTTTAAAACTCATGTCGCAAGGTGGATGGCGGCATTTACAATGTTTATGGTATTTAGTAAACACTTAGCACCCGACGAAGAGTTCGACGAGCGAACTAACCCATAGACACAGACCGCTGAGTTTCGAATTTCGGAGTTTCGGAGTAGCCGGATCTTCTCAGTGGGTTGCGATTCCGATCCGGTGGTAAATTCTGCGAAGCACTGCTCTTGATAGGGCTAGTGTTAGCAAATTCTCTCAGGTTCAGCCCGTAAGCTCACCTACCCATCCGGGCGTATCTGGAATAGCCTCTTGGGAGTTAGGCTACCAGCTAATAGGTAGAGAAAAATAAAGACAACACCAGCTGGATTATGAGTTCTTTCTTCCATGTAAGCAATTGTTCGTGGGCCGCAAAATCAGTTACCTCGTCTTCCGTCAATTGTACCTTATGCAATGGTGATAAATACATAACGGAATTTATAATAAAAATCATAAGCTATGAACATTTTATTTAAAAACATAAAATTTAAAAGTAAGACTATGTTTTACAAAAAAATAATCACTAATATTCTGTGGAAAGACTTTTTTATCAAGTTTTAAAGCTCGGAAGACATAGGAGCTCCAGATGTGTGTTCCATAATAGTGTGGTCGAGCGCAAGGTTCTGGGTTACACTACGGGTTGCACTTCGTTTCTTTCGTCCCCACCACCGTCTTAAAGAAGATAAAAGCTTCGAACTTTGAAGGCGGCATCGTCGGACTACGCTACCTCTCTGCAAACCTTTATTAACTTCTGAAGTTGTAAGAGTTGAAGCTCGATTTGTGCGTTCCTGTTCAAGATAATATAAAGCTTTGTACTCAGAGCTTTACAAAGTTTAATTGATTTGTTAACTAGCAACAATATAAATGCTTTTTTTTTTTGCTTAGATGGGTGAACGAGCTCACAGCCCACCTGGTGTTAAGTGGTTACTGGGGTCCATAGACATCCACAACGTAAATGCGCCACCCACCATGAGATATAAGTTCTAAGGTCTCAAGTATAGTTGCAACGGCTCCCCCACCCTTCAAATCGAAACGCATTACTGCTTCACGGCAGAAATAGGCAGGGTGGTGGTACCTACCCGCGCGGACTCACAAGAGGTCCTACCACCAGTAATTACGCAAATTATAATTTTGCGGGTTCCATTTTTATTACACGATGTTATTCCCTCACCGTGGAAGTCAATCATGAACATCTGCTGAGTACGTATTTCATTAGAAAATGGTGTTATTATTTTGTTTCACATTGGATATTAATATCTTCTTTTTTTAAATATGCTAATAATCCATCTTAATAAATAAAATATCTTAATAATTTAATAAAATCTTTTTAGTTTTAAACATTTTTTTCGTGAACAACGAATAGCCCCCACTGTAAGTTTACTTTGGGACCATCCTACGACTAAACATTCAACGGACGATAAAATTAAATAGTCATAACTCCAATGAAGGCCGCTGTTCACTGAAATAACTTCTGTATGAGTAATATTGCACTTAATAGAAATCTACCGTGCAACTATGAAATCAGTAAAAGAGGTTCTTAAAACACCCGATCTTATGATTACCAGCTTTATCGTTACCCGCTCGTAATTTTATTATAAAATACAATTATGGATACGAAACCTTAGCACTTGGACTAATATTTTCAACAGAACAAGCGGTCAGTAGCTCAACTTCCTGAAATGTTAATCCCCTTGTATCTTTCAGAAGGGGAAACAAACCATCAGCATCATCCTCAGAGAAATGTTCATAATCACCTAAGTGGAAATAAAATTAAAATGCTTAGGCTCCTGAGCATGCCGGCAAGCATCGTCTTAAAACTGTGTACTGCGGGAAAGGAATCTTGCGTTCACACTGGAAGAGTAGCCTGTTGGTATTTTAGAACTATTGAGGATTCCGTGACCCATCTTAAAATAGCATTGCAATATCCGTTGTGAGCTACGGCAACCGCTTAGTACGAGGTGACCATAAATTCGCCTCACCATCTACGCCCATGGGCACAATCAAAAATATAATTTAATTTAAAAGGCTTTTACTGCCGTCGAAGGCAGTCGTGGCGTTGAAAGGAAATTGATGTTATTTCGTAGCGCTCGAAAAAAAACCGAACATATGAATTCTTCTAAAATCCTGTCGCTGCATAGTAAAAATGATATCTTAAGCATTGTGGGTCAACGGAGTCCTTCAAATAGGTAGTTGAATGATAAAAAAGAGGTGGGAGCAACACTTCGAAGAATCCATCACAGCGCTACCAACGCTCATAGTTTTGTATTTATAAACCTTTTTTTTCCAACCTATGCTGGTAGCCTTGAGAGGCTACTCCAGCGTAACCTTAACTAGTAGGTGAGCTCACGGGGCTTAAGCCTGACGACGTTGCTAACACGAACCCTAGCAAGAGCCGTGCTTCGCAGAATCTACCACCGGATCGGAAACGCGACCCACTGAGAAGATCCGGCGAGAAACTCAGTGAGCTGTGTCTGAGGGTTAATTTACTCGTCGAGCCCTTCGTCGCAAGCGACGGGTTCGACGACAGTGACGGGTGCTTGAGGTACCTAAAAGCACCGTTAGTGGATCGGGAGGATCCGAGATGACGTGTTTTGGGCGACGTCGACTGCTTTCCATTCTTTCTGCAGGATCGGGAATGTTTATAAACCACACACATAAGCAAAGTCCACAAAGCTAGAGATTCAAAATATACCTACAGCTTGAATGAATTTAATCTCTAAAATTAATGTGTTAAACTGAATTGAATGAATTTACGATTTAATGTTAAATACGTTTCTTCATAATTACAAACGTCGTCTTTCTTAGTGACAGTTGATGTTGCCTCGTCATGATTAATGCTCTGTAATAAATAAATATACAATCATTAACAAATCACACACATATCAGCTCGTTCAAACTAGTTTCCAACTATTTCTGGCCAATAAACATCGATGCAAAGGTCATCATGCGTCATGATGTCTATGAGTATACCTAGCGCATATTGATGATGGCCTAAAATATTTTTTCAGTGTCAATAAGTGAATCTGTTTGCGGAATACCTTCAATGAATGATTTCTCATAAGCTGATTCTTAATTATCTATAATAACAAATTAAGCTTTAACACAGTAATACCTCTTTTCTATACCCGTCCTCGGTACTATAATAATATCTGTTTTTGTTTTACTTACACTACTTTCATTGTTATTCTGAAAGCATGATTCTATACTCGCTGCAATATCAGCAACATCGGTTAAGAATGAAAAATCCGACAGATTTATGCTTCCAGTTGAACCTTTAGACGCTTCATTCAATTGAATATCCAAAGCGTCAATCTTCGAAATTATCTCGGATACTTCAGCCGGTTGAATTCGTTCTGTCCCATCGAAAATAGCATCGTCACGGCAAATATTACAGTCGATTTGACTCATTTCAAAAAAATTGTTGATTAATCGCGAAGTCGAATTACTAAATTCATTTCTTCCCTAAAAGTTGATTTTGAACCGTTTATGAATAACATTATTTTAATTTAATTTCTCAGATTCTATAAAAGGAGAATACGCACTGTATTAAATTCATCCCCTCTTCCAAGAAAACTTTGGTCTACGTTATCTAAAATTGTAAAAACATTATTATTTCAAAATTTTATTGCAGTTTCGATTTGATAGTCTGTATTAAGGTAATGTGGGATTCCCATCCAGAAGGAGGAGTGATGATGAGAAAAAAGTTATAGAAACACGGTGAATGTAGACTGCTTCGTAGTCTGAAAGCTTACGATAGATATTAATGTTTAGCAGTGGATGTCGTTAAACTGTTATTGTAATTGATCAATAAAAACGCACTGGTAGAATTTTCATGATCTCAATCGCTTACCGTTTTCCTGACAATGACAAAATAAAATATCCAGATATCGTAATAGGTATAGGTCAGAGGATACAACAATGAGATTAGCCTGCACGGCTATTCATCATGGGTACAACTTCAGCTATCTCTAGCTACTGCTACTCCGTTCTCTTAATTGGTTAATTTCAGAAATATTCTAATTATTCACTAATATTAGAAAGATGGAAGGCGTATGGTAATCCCATACGAGGGTATCACCATCTTGTCAGGCACCAGGCATGAAACATCGGTCACATAAGTAGGTGTGATAGGATAGCGCGAACAGCCTAATTACAATAGTATTGAGACCTCCACCTCTTATAGGAAGCTGGGTGGCATCAGTTGAGTTATGATCTCTATCAGCTCAACTCCTTTTGCAATGAAAAGAACAGGTAAACCGTAGAAATGTGTCTGATCATATTAATTCACGATAATCGCTTACAATGTAAAACAAGCTTAAATATAGAACTTATTTTTGGATGTACAAGTACATATCAAAACATATTATAGAAACAAGGAATAGCGTTTAGTTATTAGATAACAAGTTTCGTAAAGCAACTTTTATAAATCGCATGAGGTCTTTGCACCTGTACCTTTTTGAGGAGTTGATGTGGCAAGAACGTTGGCAGACAGCTGTGTTTTATTTTCATTCGCGTAGCTGTCGTCTTTCAGAACTGCTAACGACGTTTCTTCATCATCAATATTGTTTTTGCAACGTCTTAAACTTTTAATCATTGAAAAATAGAGCCACGGTTGACCTGCACACGATTTTTATCGTTTTGTCCGAGAAAACTCACACTATATTTCATTGTTGTGACCAGTTTAATATACTTAAAAACCCAATAAATTAATGAATCTTTTCTAAATATTACTATCACTCCAAATACTACAAATTCGTCACATCGAATCGTGTTACATATCGCACAATGAGAAGAAGAGTCATACTTTAAAAAAAACTGTTTTGTCAGTAGAGGTATTCAAAGTTTTATATCAAACAGTAATGATTAGATCAGTAGCAGAAAGAATTTAAAAAACGTTGAACTACAAAAACAGATATTTTTGCAAAAAGCTGTTAGAATACTTCGCGCGTTATGAGTTGGTATTACTATCATGAAAATAATATTATGTCGTATAATGACAGTCTTCTTATCAACGCGCGATATATATTTGTTGTAATAATTTTACAGATAATAAATCTAAAAATATTTGAAAAAAATTATTAAAAAACCTGAATCTTTGGCAGCATTTGCAATGCAATAGGCTTCATCTAATACTTGACTCACAAGATTAACAGCCGTTACGGCAGTCGCCTTTGATTTACCCCGATCTCCATCCTCTTAAGAAACATAATTTGGATCACTTACATCCAATTAACTTACAATAATACATTTCATTTAATTGAATTTAATCTTTATTTTCGTACCTTTATTCGTCATTTTTTATACTAAGCTTAAAGATGCTCTAGTAAATTAGAAAATCAGCAATTCAATAACTAAATGAACTTAGAGAGAAGAAAACTTAGAGAAGTCAAACGCGATATAATGTTGAGAAATTAGAACGCAATGCAATCTTATGTTTTTTCTGACGATAACTTATTAATGATCAACATACAGACAATCGAAATGTCAAACTACGGTTTTGTTGATATTTTTTCAGCCAGTATTTAAAAACAAAACCTTTTAGTTGCGAAGCAGTCATTGATAAGCTGATGCATCAATGACTGCTTCGAAATGCATGAATGAGGGTGCAGCATGCCATTTTTTAAAGGCAGCGGCTTGGCTCTGCCTCGGCATTGCTCACGTCTATGGGCGACGATAACCACTCACCATCACGGTAGGCCGTATGCTCCGTCTGCTTACAAGGGCAATAAAAAAATGCACATTGTGATATCTGTTACCTACTTCGCACTAGAGGGGCCATGTTTTAATTCACAAGTAGATAATTAAAATATCCTAGTTATTGGATATATAAGTATACAAATCATATACCCATAAACGATTCGCATAACGTACTAGTCATTCGATAGTTTATGAAGATCAAAATTAAAAAAAGAAAATTTTAAAAGGACAGGAGAGCAATCCATAACGTGTATTATCAAATTTAATAATATATCAGAGCTATTTTTTTCAGGGCAAACATAAACTTTTCATTAAAACAACGCTTCTATTTCAGTAACGCCCAGTCAAGTTGCGTATATCCTAAGTCTTCAACCTCGGATTTATTTTCGTGGTTTCGCGATTGTATCCCACAATAATCGTTGCAGTACGAGAAATAAGAATAAGATATAAATAAGAAGAGAAACTAATATAAATAAGTCGATTTATTGAAACCGAAAATTACTAAGTGAACATTGTCACTTACTTCCTCATTCCATCTTCAAAATTTTCAGTATAAATTCCTGAATTTCCATATTTTTATAATATGCGTTTTTTTACTGGCGATAGGATGTCTTGTGAGGCTGCATGGGTAGCTACGACCCTGCCTATTTCTGCCGTGGAGCAGTAATGTAAAAACTGAGACCTTAGAACTCATATCTCAAGGTAGATGGCAGCATATACGTTGAAGATGTCTATGAGCTCCGGTAACCATTTAACATCAGGTGGGCCGTAAGCTCTTCTACCCGCCTAAGCAATGAAAAAAAATTGTTTACGGGAAATGAAGTTTTTAGATAAAAGATAAGTTTAGGTTTCTTCATTAAACCTGTTAGTAATTGTTATCGATTGAATCGAAACGCGTTGTATGCGGTCACTACCATAAAAAGAACAACATTTATCTATTAACGTCGTCACGTGTGCCACCACACCCTTACTCTATTTACAAATTGGCTGTTAGTGTGAATAATTATTACGATTCTGTTAAGTTAATTAAGATTATTTGTATATACTATTGCAAAATACATACAGATTTGTGAGTAGATTAATTAAACTCTTTTTGACTTCTTCTAAAAGATAACTTCAACATAGAGTAACCAAACTCAAAATTACAATTTAGCCAAATTATATTCCTTTTTCGGTTTCCATGGTGCAAAAGATTTTATCCAAAAATGATGTAAAAATGTATTTTAATTAGCGGAAATGAGCGGATAAGCTCGTGAGCACAGCGTGAATATCACCCACCTTGATACATGGGGTCGAAATCTGAATTGCATCTAATTATTATCCACACTAACCTTCCAACGAGAACAGACAATTGGCTCGCCGTAGAAATAGAGAAAGCCTTTTAAAAGAGAGAAAAACAGATACAGGAATGGCGAGAGATTTAAAAAGAAAAATAGCTAAGGAATATATTATTACTCTCAACATCAATACTGGTATACTTTCACGTGTTTTTTACTTTTAATGATTTCATTATTAAGAAAGTTGCAGTTTTCAACTCAGTTCAGTAAATAAAAAAAAAACGTTTTTTTTTTATGAAACCGATATATCTATAAGGACCTATTGTTATGTGTATAACACACTGCTTTAATGCGTATTTTTCAAGGCTACATTTATTTGAGAGAAATGTGTAATAACATTTAAGTACAAAACAAATGTAAGTTGCCTTACAAATAAACGACAAGTACCTAAATTATCATTCGAAATTTTCTAGACTTAAAATAATATAGAAGCTGTGTACTCTGTGTCAGACATTTTGTCGTTACCATGGCAATCGGAGGCTGCCTCTTATTCAGAACCAGCGATCAATGTTTAATAAGGTTGCCTCATTGATAACGAAACAAAATTATTAAGTTAAGTAAAATTTTAAAAAGATCTCCTTACTTCATAGCATTCTGTGTAAAATATGCTATTATTGTATATAACAAATGAAAAACTTATCAAAAATTAAGTAGTATTTACATTATACAACGAAAAATACAAAACAAAATCTTAAAACTAGTATCAAAAACGAAGTGAATCAATATTTGGTTGTGTTTAAACAAAATTAGTAGAAGAGTCCACTAATATTTACTTAACATCGACAGCCCTGAATCTCGGCTCGACCTGAATGCGCAAAGGCTCACTCTCCGTCGAGCTTCCCTCCGGAAAAGTGCGCGTTTTCCCTCCGTCATCCGTCATAGCTGTACCTCAATATACTTTTGTTTCCAACCCCAGCCTTTAACGTAAACAGTGCTCTTCAAACAATATGACCACTAATGACAAATACATAGGTACGTTTTACAAATCTATAATTATAACTAAAACTTATTACTTATGTACTTAGTTATAAATACTTATCGAAAAGTGGTTTTGTCAATAATTTAAATTTAAGCTCTGTTTTATTTTGTATTTATTAATAAATTTATATTTTTCTAAATATATTTACTACTTGAAACATTCATTATTAATTTGAACCTGAGATAAAACTTTAACTGCGCAATAGACTTATTCGTATTTGACCTGTAAAAATCAACCCTTAAAATATTAAAAATACGTTTTTTATACAATTACGAAAGTGCCAATTATATTATTTATAAATATAATTTTATTAGAATGAAATCAAAAGATATGACAGAAGATGAGTGCAACGGTGAGGAGGTGATTCCCATACCAGTTCAAATATTTCTATGGAGACAGACCACACCTTTTGTTCGACCACGTCTTGGAAAATTACATGACTCTTCATGCATGGTAAGCAAATAAATTTTAAAAAACAAATCAGTTTTGATGTTTCAATTTTACAATTTTTAAGTTCAACAAGTAAGTAATAATAACTTCGTTAAACTCAATAAAAAAATTTAAGAAAACAAAGCATTACAGATAACCTTACTTGATCAACGGCATTTGTAAATACGCAATGTTGTATGATGTTTTTATTGATATTGTGAAATAATAATTATAATGAACGTTTATTAGAACTAAAATTCGTATCCGCTTGTCGAGTGTCAGCAAGCTTGAGTCTGAATCAAGCTGCTATGAGCTAAATTACGTTCACACTACGAATAAATAATAAGTCATTTATTCGTAGCGTTCACATTTCTTTTTTACGTGCACCCTGTTGTAATGTGTTAAATATAAATTACTTATTTGTTCGTAAACAGTTCTGTCAACGCGCTCCAGGACATCATGTAAGTTCACGTTATGCATAGATATTCAATAATGCACGTTAGTTAATTAAATGATGAGATGTATGAGGGCTAGTGTTTTTATTACTATATTTTTTTTTACAAATAATGCTCGCAATTGCTTTTATTTTACCAATAGCAGTATGTTAGCTCTCCTTCTGCTTGTAATACGTCACCGCTATTTAAGAAAACTCAGTTCAAGTTTGAGACTTTGGTACAGAATAGTGGTTCTGCGCTAACTGCAGGTAGGCAGCGGCTTGGCTCCGGTAGGCAGCAGCTTGGTTTCAGTAGGCAGCGGCTTGGCTCTGGTAGGCAGCGGCTTGTCTCCGGTAGGCAGCGGCTTGGCTCTGCCCCTGGCATTGCTGAATGACATGCATAGACAATGGTTGCAATTAATAGCGCATTAACACCTTACTGTGTATATACCTACGAAGAATTTTCGATGTTTGTGAAACAAACATTGTTTTGTTTTTTTTTTTCAAAATTAAATTAATTGGCAGTCGCTCTAGATGTCCCCTAACAATGATGACGTCAAAAACGTCAAGCTACTTAAATTGTCTGAATTGTTTCGTCATACTTAGGTAGACGGCCCATCTGGTGATTAGTGGTTACCGAATCCCATGTACGCTATACCTAATGTTAACTACCATGCGTCTTGAAATTGAACTGTTGAAGTTTCAATTCAGTTGCAGTAAGTTTAAATGAAATTACTAAAACATACTGATGATTAAACTTACTCTACTATTCTCGAACATATCGACGCTTGAAAGGCAAACGTGACTAAACGACAATACCTGCTTTATACATAAATGATAGGCAATAACCATATTCGATGCGCAAAAAAAATATATTTCTAGGTCTATTAAAATCATTTCACGTTTGCCTTTCAAGCGTCGATATTTTCAACGTTACCTCACCTAGTAGTAGATAACTTCACTTTTGGTTCGTTATGTAGTATTTATCATTATAAATCTGCACATGTATAGCTAGCATTTTGTTGCCTAAATAAAAACACAGTTTAATGCATCTGTACTTAGTGGTACCTTTTTTATGTAGTTATGCAAGCACGGTCTTTTATGCGACAGCTGGAGAATTCAAGACTTGGACAAAAAAATATTTGTTCAGATTTTAACGATTTTAACATGTGGTAAAAGAGTTTCCGAAAGAAAACTCCCGTGTTGGTTAATAGAATAAAATCACTCTTCAGTATCAAGTTCTTAAAAATTATTCGGTTCATTAGGAGGTTTTTACGTTAACATTTAATTTCCGTCTATTTCATTTTATTCTAAGCTATATAGAAAACTAGACTGTACGAGCTACGTTCTGTTTGCCCTTGCCTACCCAAGAGGACACAAATGACATATTAAAAAAAAAGAAAATGTTATTGTTTACATTGTAAACCATCAACTGTTTGATCAAAAATTATAGTTTTGTATATAGTGCATTTGTATGTTAGAGTCGACCTTTTAAATTTAAACAAATGACTTATGGGTACTATAGATAGGCACGATTTTTCTCATACATAATAATATGATTAAATCATAATTTTGCTTTTACAGGAACTGAAGGAAGCTTGTAAGGTAGGTTTAGTTGTATGTTAATAATATATAAGTAATATAAAGATATATAATAATAAGTATTTTAAAGCTTTACTAGTTTCAAAAGTAAAGAAAAGATTCCCAGTAAATATTAAAGTGATTTTATCAATTTTCATTTTACAAAATCAGCTTTGTTCATTTTTTGGTGTGCTGCTGCTAGTAGCTGCTACAAATAGTAGGAAATCTTTCTTTGATAAAAGAGCTGTTTTCCTACCTAACTCCTAATACTTAAGCCTCTAGTCCTACCTTAATTACAAACAATAGAGCATGTCGCAACCCCATACAAATGAGTACCACTATCCTGATTATTTGGAAGAGTACTTAGAGCAGCAAATGCACTGATATAATTGAAACTTAAATTTTATGTCTCGATATACATAGCAGGAACCACTATGGTCTCTGTGAGATTTACCCACTGCTTGACATCCGGCCACATATATTAGTGTAGTAAATAAAAATTCATCTAATGAAAAGCTAAACACGCAAATAATGATAAAATATTTTTCAATATTCCAGTCGTTCGAAAAAGTACTAGTTCAAAATTTGAGATTAGGTCTCTCAAGCAGTCTCACTGAGGCTATTGAATCAATACCACGATGGCGCCTCATACAAGCAGCACTGCCTCATGTCATGCATTCCTTGGCATCAGTGCTTCACACAAGGTATGTGGATATTGACCCTTTGCACTCAAAAGGTGATTCTCACTTACCTAAATAAGTGGTAATCACTACCTTTGAGTGCAACATGCATACAATTTGTTAATGTTTTCCCATATATGTTTAGAGAATACTTATATATATTTGGCAATCTTAAATATAAAAAGACAATATATTAAGTAATATTCTGAAATATTTATCATTTTTTTTTTTATGATTGTAGAAACATTACTAAAATTATTTTAGGAAATAGCAACTTTTTTTATTTCAACATATAACAAACCAGTTGATTAAAAGTTATCTCTGATATCTCAAGAATTACATAAATGAAAAGAACATTTTTGAAGAAAAGAATACAGAGATAGCAGCACAATAATATTTAGATACAGTTGGAAGTAATTACTGAGTATTTTGTAAAGCTATTAAACAGTGAGTTTAAATTTAATTTATTCTTAATACAGTATTATATATTCATTTCCATTTTCAGAGTAAAGGACAATATGCAGTCACTTGGAAACGTGGAAACAAAGCTGTTGTATACTCTTCACTGGATCCTTCTCGATGCTTCCGATGAATGTGCTGACAATGACTATGAAAATGGCGTATTCTATTCAAACCCATTTCACTATTTGTTTTCAGTACCAACAATGACGGTGTGTTGTAAATCTCGATAAAATTAAAAAATTAAAATTTCTGACCAACACAAAATTAATATTTTTTTCCTATGTAACATAAAGAAAGGCATGCTTTTGGGCCCATTCTTATGAATCTATGTCAGTTTTGTATTTATTTACTTGAATATCTTAAGTTGATTGATAAATTAACAACCATACTATGGTATCATTTTAATTTCATTAGCATACTCAATTGTATTGACTGATTAAATTAAGTATCTAAATGACCTTTCAAATAATACTATTCTAACATTAGGTTATAGATTAAATAACTTAAGCTAAACATAACATGCAACATCATCATTAATATTGCATTATTAATACTTGCGCAAATTAATTTTAGTTTTAACATAACTTAAATAACTGTTTTCAGCTATTTGTATTTCTGTTTGCACCACTTTCGCACCACCTGAAAGAATCAGACTTCACCAATAACTATCGCTTAGAAAATGGTCTTAAGATGTGGCAGGCGATGTGGGAATTTCGACATCCTGATGCGCCTTGTTTTACAACACTTGTGAAACCAAAACCGAAGCCTTTAGGTGGAAAATATTCGAAAAGGCCACAACACAGCGACGTATTTCTTGGAAGTAAGTATTTTGATTCGAGAGCTATTTTTATGTATTATATTGAGGAATTGCATAATTACTTGTGGTAGGACCTCTTGTGAATCCGCGCGGGTAGGTACCACCACCCTGCCTATTTCTGCCCTGAAGCAGTAATGCGTTCGGTTTGAAGGGTGGGACAGCCGTTGTAACTATACTTGAGACCTTAGAACTTATATCTCAAAGTGGGTGGCGCATTTACGTCGTAGATGTCTATGGGTTCCAGTAACCACTTAACACCAGGTGGGCTGTGAGCTCGTCCAGTCATCTAAGCAATAAAAAAAAACTGAATTTAAAATATTTATAAACATACGTATTTGTCAAGGGAAATTTTCAAAAGAAGAAGGCACGGTCAATGGTAGTCCACCAAGTCAGAATGTATCCCTATCACAGTCGGATGTGCCATCCAAACAAGCTAGCACTGAGGAGGAGCCGTGGCTATCATCACCTAAAGAAACTATTTTTCCAGAAACAATACCCGAAGAGAGTTCGAGCACCGAAGAAGAACATGTGGTATAAAAATGTTACTAATATTAGCAGTAAACTAGATGATGACTCGGTTTTTTTTTTGATAACGCCATCTTGTTGTGTCTTTAAAGCGGTTAGTTGCCCTCAATTAAGAAAAATTGTATTATTATTCGCCAATAGATGTCGGGAAGAGTTCATTATTGAAAACACGAATAAAACAACATTTTCTGAAAATAAATAATTTTTTGTTTGTAGTTTATATACCGACTTCCCTCCGAACAAAATTTTGGTGGTTCCGTGAAAGAGGCGTATACAGTTTATGCAGCCGATCCAAGCATTTTCCAATTTCGAAGAACGGACACGTCTAAGCAGTCGTTACCCGGGATAAAACCACTGCCTCAAATAACTAAGATGAGGTACCTAATGATAATTATTAATTATTAAAATTTATTATCTAAAGATTCTAGTTTTTTAATTATTTATATATTATATTTCTAAATGACGGAAGAGCTCTATTATGGTCAGCCAATTAGTAATCACTTAATAAATTTACAACGTAAATCCTTTTCATTACTATTTATTTTTTGTTGTGAATACAGCTCATCAGACAAAGAGTCTCTTTCTGACAGTGGAGGTCCTGGCCCAAAGGATACATCAACAACAGCAGAAAAGCCGCAACCAACAAAAAAAGTACATGTAAGCGTTTTTTATTTATTTATTGCTGAGATGGGTGGACGAGCTCACAGCCCACCTGGTGTTAAGTGGTTACTAGAGCCCATAGACATCCACAACGTAAATGCGTCACCCACTTTGAGATATAAGTTCTAAGGTCTCAGTATAGTTACAACGGCTGCCCCACCCTTCAAACCGAAACGCATTACTGCTTCACGGCAGAAATAGGCAGGGTGGTGGTACCTACCCGTGCGGACTCACAAGAGGTCCTATCACCAGTAATTACGCAAATTATAATTTTGCGGGTTTCATTTTTTATTACACAATGTTATTCCTTCACCGTGGAAGTCAATCGTTTTACGATAACACCCAATATTGATAGATTTATTAAAAATAACACTACTCAATTTCGTACAACAAATTTGCCAAATATATCGCTCTAAAATGAAAACTTGCCTGTATTTTCAATTTGGTCTTCTTATTCTTCAGCTATCTGCCGCCACATTTTTAGACATAGCCACGTTGCGATGCCTGTTTACTTCACAATGGCAAGAGGAAGGCGTATATTGGGCGCTGCATTACCTTTATAACAGGTATAAATGAATCATTAAAGTAATTTTAAACACAATAACAGAATGAGTACGTGTATTAACTGCAACTCATAATCATCAGGCTCCGGGACATATGTGACGACATGTCCAAACAGACTCAACCACGTAAAAGAAGCAATTCTCTACCGATACCGAAAATAGAAGTATCAGTTTACCAAAGTCCGGACGTAAAAGAGCGTGATTCCTTGAAGAATTTTATAGAAGTCCCCGAACCTAAGGACATATCGCCAGTAACGGAGCTACCGTTTCCGGTACAGCCAAGAGTCGAGGAAGAAAACGTTATGAGCCGGAGGTCCAGTGAAAAGATAAAGCGTAAAATGAAAATGGCCGATCTGAAAGCGTTTGTCGAAACAAAATTGCTCTCGAAGTCCGAAAAGGCGTTAGAGAAAATCGGACAGGAAGATCAAAAGTTCACTTTTCACACAGCCGTGAGGATGATATCTGTATTTACTTTGTTGGAATTTAATGGGGAACATTCGGTCTTCGTCACACTCTCAATAAATCTTGGTCTTGCAGGAGTACCACAGGAGCTTGGACAACGCAGACGACAGGCCCAATTCCGCTTTGGCCAGCAATTTCCCTCGAGCCGGTCCGCGCCTTACCGGTGATATGTTTCCGTGCAATCTCATCAAAGGGAAAAGTATGCCGAGTCTGAGGTAAGCTAAACGTGTGTAAAATACTTTTTTTATTTATTTTTACCATTTCATATATTATTCTAGTACGTACGTACCAAACTTAAATGTTGTTGCGTAGAAAAACTCGATCGATATTCGAATTGTTTACTAACGATTTTGATTCCTCTACATAGTTTCAATTTTGATTTTAGATTAATTAGGCAATCAATAATGAAGTCGTTCTAGATTAAAATAGAAGGCAGCCGTTTTTTATATTATTATAAAGTAACACTACTACTCGTAGTAACTCTTCGTCTGCTATTAGAAACACATGACAGAACAATACAATTATCAAGAAGACAAACTACAATCATGATTAAAATTACTATGATGGTTAAATCTCGACTTTATTATTATCATTTTATTATTTTGAACGCTTTACACTTATCGTGATCACGGAAGACTTATTAAGTCGTAATAAACTGTAAAAGTAGTTTTAATCATGTCTAGGACTCGCGGAAACCGGTATAAAATATTATAATCTACAAATATTTTTGTGATAGTATATTTCAGCTAGTTGAATATTATATCTTAATGCAAGTATAGTATTATATTATTGTCTATTTTTTTATACTTAATAGGTACACATTTCCATTACAAATTTATAATATTTTAAATATCGTCGCACAGCATGATTAATTTCTTTACACGTTTTCTAAGTGAAATATTATTCTATTTAAAAATTATATTTTCTCTTTCTCCCGTTTTTTTAACGCTTATTCCCGTGCAATATTATAATGGATATACGATCGCTAGCTGTTTGATTGATGAGCTAGCGTCGAACGGGTAAGTTTAAAGGAATGTAAGAGGAGCAAATTAACTAGCTAGCTTTGTAACTTAGACGCTAGATAATCGTTTCGGACTTTACTTAATGGATATAATCGCATTGCACATGATATTTATAAAGTATTAAACAGCTTATGAGATACTTTGAGATCAAGAAAATTTATTGCCGTACACAGATCTTTCGGCTTTTAGGTAATATTAACACGTTGACTGTCGTGTAGGTCACCGGTGCCCTACGTGGGGCACTGAAGTAACTATGTCGATTTTTGTTACTAAGGAGTCTGGATTGTCCAAATTTGCCTTCTTTTGTTTGTTAATTTATGTTTTACAAGACCTGGCTGTATGGACTGAAGTCCTTTGCCTTTCACATTAGGGATAAATTAATATCATCATCATAATGTATGTTTTAGTCTTTTAAGTCTTAGAAGAAATGGATTTTTACTCGGCATCGTTCGAATTCGTCATTCCCAGAGTCTACTAGATATTCCGGCGCCTTAGTAAGACGATTGAAGAGACTTACTTTTCTTACTGGTAGCAGGACCTCTTGTGAGTCTGCACTGGTAGGTACCACCACCCTGCCTATTTCTGCTGTGAAGCAGTAATGCGTTTCGGTTTGAAGGTTGGGGCAGCCGTTGTAACTATACTGAGACCTTAGAACTGATGTCTCAAGGTGAGTGGCGCATTTACGTCGTAGATGTCTATGGGCTCCAGTAACCACTTAACACCAGGTGCGCTGTGAGCTCTTCCACCTATCTAAGCAATAAAAAAAAAAGTAGGGCACCGGTGACCTACATGTCAGTTAACTTGTTAATGTACAGTATACCCACCGAACAAAACACATTCAAGCACACATATACAAACAAGTAGAAATGCACGCACGGGCTCCTTAGACTTAACACGACATATACATAGGCAACTCAGCTTAAAACTCAATAATTTGTAATTAATGTAGAATTAGAATTATCGATTTTTACCATTTAATTATTGATTTGTTTGCTTCAGAGCCATTCGTAAAATTCGATTAATAAATATTTAACATCTTAAATGTAGAATTTAAAGCAACATTCGCATAAAATGTATTATAATATTGAATAAATAGCGAGTCAAGTTTAATAGAAAATACGGTTTAAGGCATGTTTGTTTTTTTTATTACTGATCCATTGTTTTCTAGTCATATATATACATGTAATCGAAAATATTCGTTTCAAGTAAAAATTGTGAACGAAATATCAATATTCCATTAGCCTGATTCAAAATATATAAGTATTCGTTTTATTTTATTACTACCTAATTTTATGGTAATCAGTATACAGTTTGCAGATGTCATATTTAATTAATAATTTAAGTTTAAATAATAATTGTATAATTCGAAACATACATAGAAATAACAACTGATTATTAATATTTGGATGTTTTCTTTTTATATTATTTGGTATATATTATTTCAAAGAATTTATTGAACAACCATCCATTTAAATAACAATAAATTACAGATATTAGGTATAATAATGCATTATTTTAGATATATCGGTGAAGTGAAAACTGAACGCGCTCAAGGCCCGTCGAACACAGTCCCCTCTAACGTGCAAAAAAAGAAAAATCCCATAATAACAGTTACGGAACACACACCAACACCATCTCCCGATTATTTGTCGAAAACACAACAGGTCAGTGTGTTAATTCTCAAACGTAATAGTAATAACAAGTGCAACCCGATCTCGATCTGCTGTGTCTATCACTAATTGTATAAAAACATCGATATCTTGAAATTACTCACGCGTACACTGATGGTGCTGTAAGAAAAATCCTTCCATAGATTGCCAACAATTACTATGTATATCAACCAAGTTTCATCACAATCTTATGAGAGGTCTAAGAACGTCTAGTGAACAAACAGATATCGATTTTTATTTCTAATAAATAGAATTTTACAAACTTACAACATTAGGAACATATTTTACATGTGTTTTACCATCTTAATACAATACGATCAAAACTTCAACTTCTAGTATCAAGATGAGCATTGTCTATGTTATTTCTAAACTCATCTAATGGATTAATAATGGAAAAGACGTTACCGTGAGCCTATCTACTGGTTTACAGCAAAATAAAACATTTTACATGTAATAATGGGACTATTGCTTTTTGACTGGTGGTAGGACCTCTTGTGAGTCCGGGTAGGTACCGCTACCCCGCCTATTTCTGCCGTGAAGCAGTAATGCGTTTTGAAGGGTGAAGGGTTAGCCGTTGTAACTATACTGAGACCTTAGAACTTATATCTCAAGGTGGGTGGCGCATTTACGTTGTAGATGTTTATGGGCTCCAGTAACCACTTAACACCAGGTGGGCTGTAAGCTCATCCACCCATCAAAGCAATAAATAAAAAATTACCTCTGCGATTTAGGGCTCGATGGAATCTCAAATAGATTCGGTAAGTATGCAAGGATCTCAACACATACCGACGCCTGAACGAAAGCCCAGTTTGACGAGATCTCAGACGGATTCGAACATCACTTACATAGTTGAAGAAATACAGGAGGCGCCTGGATCTGTGAACTACATCACTAAAGAGGGCGACATTAATTTCCAAGTTGTATTGAAAGTAAGTTGAGTCTACAAAAGTGCTACTCGCAATTTTTTTGTATTTACTTTAAATCGGACGACTTTGCGGTCCAACTATTAATCTTTAGCAGTTACCGGAGTTCATACACACCACAAAGTGATAACTCACCATGCGACAGCTCAGAATGAAACACTTTATAGTTTAGCGGTATATTCAGGAGTGCTACCATCCCAAGCAGACAACACGTGCTTAGCAAGAGCAGAGGAAAGTAACGCACGGATATGAAATTTATAGAGCGACGTTTGTGGCTATAGTACTAGTACATAGGTTCCTAGGTTCGTAATGTAGGCTGTAATTGCCCAAACAATAATAGATAATATAGGATAATAGATAGAGAGAATAGATAATATATTAGGAAGAATAGATAATAGATAGAACCAACTATTAAAACTACCTATTTAAAACTAACTTTATACAAGTTCTTCTGTTAGCTCCTTCAATTCCAATTGAATTTTAGGCCATTCATTCCGTATCGACGCTGGACAGCTATTACATAACGCTTCGAGTAATGGAGGTGATGCTAAACTTGGTTGACACGTTGATGGAAATCGGTGTTCATAAAAACTGGCAAAGCAATACTCCTGATGACCCGCAGCCCGGGACAGTCGATCCGATGTCGGACTTCAACAAAGAGAAGGAGAATAAGGTAGCGATAGAACTGAAAATCATTGGAGGGCTCAAGAGAAAAATTTATAATTAACTAAGAATCTGTTTGTTTTGCGAATCTAACAGGAGAGGGATTCCGGTATACCTTGCGCACACAGTCAAGAGTCGACGAACGTAGAAGGAGGTGAAAGTGCTAAAGAACGGGCAAAGGAAGAAGAGAACCTAGATTGTCCATATTTCATGATAATGCAAATAATTTTAAGGTACCGGTTTTATGAAAAAAAAAGATGTGTGGTGTTGTAGGACACCGGATAGGAACGAAGTACCTTCTTATAAAAATATTAATTTTAAGTTCTATTCGAGGTATAAAGAAAATAATTATTATAAAAATTGTATAAATTTTTTATCATGATTTTTTTATTGATAAAAATAAAAATAAAAACTACTTTACAAAGGAACAGCTATTTATATGAATAATAATAATAATAACCGTCATCACGTAGACTATACATTAAAATCTGTGTAGCCATCATACTAAGACTACATAAATAATAAAAATCTTACGTTACGGACGTACCCCTCCGCATCGTCCCATAAGGAACTTCGTTCCAAAAAAATACATATAAAAATGGACTGTATAACATGCCAGTAATGTTACGTTTGACTAAAGCACCGTCCTATAGAAGCGTCGTTTTGATTTCGTTAGAATACTTCGTCAATTGGGATGTTCGCACGGCTGCACCACGGCGCTGCGCGGTCCGCAAGCCGAATGTCTCCGTGTTCAGGCCCGCAACTCGCTCCGTCAGCTTCGAGCGGCCTCGATACCAAAATTTACGATCCGACTAAAGGATATGACAAAATTCTCCCCGATCAGAGAAGTTCTGGACAATCTACATGCCGCTATAGGGTTCTGCGCTGAACCATCAGCAATGGTTTCGCCGATGAGTAAGTTGCGAATTTATTGTCTAGCCTCGTTCATATAAAAACTATGTTTTTTTTTACTTGTTCTTCAATATTTCGACCAAGCAGTTAATGTGTTTCATTCAACACAGGGCAAATCCTGTCGATCGAACTTTAAGTTGATTGAAACGAAATTAATTATTGCATTGACAAAATAGGACGAGTGCACTAAGTAACGAAATTGGGATAATTTTTACAAGTTTTTGACGAAAGTTTTACGAACTCGTCGATTACGACGAATAGTTCGACGAGCGAACTAACCCATAGACACAGTACACTGAGTTTCTCACCGGAGGTTCTCAGGGTTCTGATTCTGATCAGGTGGTAGATTCTGCAAAGCACTGCTCTTCCTAGGGTTATTTTTAATAAATTCTCTCCAGCGAATAGCTAGGGACAAAAATTGATCACAGACGATGTTGTTTTCAACACAGAATTTACTTCGACTTTACAATTTGAACAGATCAACAAAAGCGAAACTACGCGAAGTCGCCGGACATCGCTCAACTACAAAACGATTATGCGACGAATTTCGGCCAAGGACAAGGTCCGAACAGAGCCATTGAGATCTTCATCATAGAGGCTACCTTTAGAGTGCTCGTCACTAGATTTGCAATGATGCACAAGGAGTTAAAGAATCTAGATAATTCGGTAAGAACATTTTCATACTTGTCCATAACACAATTAAGTCTTTCTTAATTTCAAACTGAGTATTAAAAAGTCATTACACAAAAAAATATGCCTGACAATATTCATTATCTAACTATCTATAACTAGTCAGGTCATAAGTATTGTCACACAGTAAAAACGTTTCTTTTAGAATGCTGGCCACAAAAAAGTTTATTGAATTCGAATTTCGAATTGTTCATGATAATAAAAATGTATACCGTAAAATGGGGCGATTAGGGACAAATTCCAACTTTATGAGCAATTTTAAGGTAGTTGTTGATGTATATAATGCTATATCAGGATCAAAATGATTGAGTCTTGGGGGCATCTTTGTTGTCTAATTTAAAATTATGCAACTAGCATTCAAGTTTAAGAAAAAAATGCAAAAATAGGTGTAATCCCTATTTACCCGAAAATTGCGGTTAATTGGGACGAAATGAGAAATTTCCTAGGGTTGGCACTACTTTTATTTTTATATATAGTTTTAATTAATTTATTTATTTAGTTGCACCAACAAAGTGATCATCAATAAAAAAAATTGAAAAACTGACAAAAGTACATGGCAGACATCACCTCAATTATAGGTGCAATCGACAGTGCTGATATTTCTATCTGGGTTAAGAGATTAGGTGTGTCGGTTATTCCATGGNTCGTTCGTGCTGCGATAGACGACTGGCCGCGCAGATTGAAGGCCTGTATTCAAAATCACGGAGGTCATTTTGAATAAACTTTAGTGTCATAAGAATCTATGTTTTGTTAAGTTCATTTTGGTATATGAATGGTTACATAATGAATAAACTTGTTTCAATTATTTTACATTAAACGTGACAGAATTTATGACCTGACTAGGTATATATATAAAAATGAATTGCTGTTCGTTAGTCTCGCTAAAACTCGAGAGCGGCTGTACCGATTTGGATAATGTTGGTCTTGAATTATTTGTGGAAATCCAGAAAAGGTTTAAAAGGTAGATAAATATGAAAATGCTCGGAATTAAATAAAAATAACAATTTTGTTTTTCCTTTGATGTGTCCCCGTCGGACGGATTCCTTTTGTTTGTTTTAAGTTTATTTTATACAAAAGTTTAGGTCTTTTATTTATCGACTGAGGCACTACGAAGTCTGCCGGGCTAGCTAGTATTGTATAAAAATACATTAAATATTTTTCTAACTGTACCTATAGACATTATACATGGAAGTGCGGCTACTTTTGAGTTATGTGAGAGAAGCTCACGGCACCGAGTATCGTGTGGTGGCCTTCAGCGCTTTGCTCGACACGGCAGAGAGACCAGACAATCAACAAAAGGACTCCAATATGCAGACCACTAGAGTTATACGGTGAGTATATTTCACCTTGCTTAAAAAGAATAATCAAATTTAAAAAATCCCTTAACCAAAAATATGAATTCACTTTTAAAAAAAACCTCCTATTTGGGGCTTAATAATTCAGAATACATACTTGATATTGTGTGTATCGGACTTTATACCTCTGTATAATATATGTATGTTGAGGAAGTCGCTGTGAGAACCCATGAACATCACAATCCGAATTCAGTCGATTGGTGATCACGATACGCTGGTATGTTACTCGGAAAGTACTGCTACCTGTCCTTTGGCGAATCTCTTTGTCACCACAGAGTGGTACTATTCGAGGCCATCACACAGCCTTCAGTGGACCAAAGTATTTCTAGATAAGCGATAACAAATGAAATGATATAATTCCTACGACTTTATGCAGTTGTTAATGTCTCTCATTTGGCTTCTATCATCACCGATGACCAACGAATACCAGTAGAAACGCGAGCTCCCGCTGAGTTTCTCGTCGTATCTTCTCAATTGTTCGCGATTCCGATCCGCTTGTAGATACTGCGAAGTGCTGCTCTTGCTAGGGTTAGTGTTAGCAAATTCTCTTAGGTTGAGCCCGTGAATTCACCTACCCGTCTGGGCGTAGCTGGAATATAAGGGGCTATTCCACCAATACCATACAATGGCTACCAGCCAATAATTTTTTACCTGGTGGTAGGACCTCTAGTGAGTCCGCACGGGTGGGTACCACCGCCCTGCCGGTTTCTGCCGTGAAGCAGTGATGTGTTTCGGTTTGAAGGGTTGGGCAGCCGTTGTAACTATGCTTGAGACTTTGGAACTTAAAGTGGGTGGCGCATTTGCGTTGTAGATGTCTATGGGCTCCAGTAACCACTTAACATGAGGTGGGTTCTCAGCTCGTCCACCCATTTAAGCAATAAAAAATTAATAAGTAAATGGGGGAAAAGTGCGTGTTATTTCAATACGAAATATTCAAACATAATATATAACCTAGCGTGCGTCACAGCACCATTTAATTATTAGTGAATGTATTTTCAGGCACATCTCTCGTGCGTCTGAAGAAGAGCGCGGTTCGGATACAGGCGCGGACTCGGGCTGCGCCGCCGACGAGCGGCTACATAAGAAGTTCACCTTCAAGAAACGAAGCACGTCATCTACCGGCGCACATGTTAGTACCAGGACTATTTGAACATTAATGTAGATATTAACATCCGTTGAAATAACGACAATGCCTCTCTTTTTGTATTTATTATAATAAACCCATAAGTAAGTAGATAATCTTTATATTCGAAAATAAACGATCTAAAAATTTAATTTCGGTGTTTTGTAATCCGCTTAATAATTTCAAATAGTACATAAATACATATATAAAATGAAAATAAAAAAACTAAAAAGTTTTACTTCTTCAATATAAAAATTAAAAGAAGTCAAATATTTTGTCATTTTCGAAAATAAAAATGGACCATATCATGCGTTGGTCTGAATAGACGTTGTGTGAACCATGCGTTCAGATACAAACACTTAATGTTATTGTTCCAGAGCCTTCTCGACACGGAAGGAGGCGACGAGTCTGCTAGCCAGTCGCCGCTGTCCACCCGCACCCGCCGCTACCAGCTGACCCCTCGACACTCCGAACGCACTATACCGGCCACCTCCTCAGCCGACATCACGCCTCATCACAAAATTCACCATTCGAAATCCATACCATCCAAATTTCACATCAGTGGAATCGGTAATTGTATTTTGATTTATGCTGCTATTTAACTTGTTGTGTGCGCGGGGACCTCGTAGAAGGTTTGACCTCAGGCTCGAGAAAAAATAAAATAAAAAAAAAGGTGGCTCAGCTAATGGTGCTTAAAGTGGATGCATTGAACAGCGCCGATTCTCAGTCACCCCCTTTCCCCTTTGGTTTATTGCGGGGTTTAAGCATAAGCACATGTCTAGAGACTTAAAACGTAAATAACAACAATCCAATCCTCTTATTTTTAGTGAACTGGTTCCGTCAGAAGCCACAGTCTCAAGCGAATCTCATACGCAACGGAGCGGGTTCGGGGGAGTCGCTGCCGATATCGGGCAGCATGGTGTCCCTGGCGCGCCCCGTGCACGTCGCGCAGCCGCACGTCAGCCGCCCCGTGCACGTCAAGCGCAGGGTCGGATACACTTTGAACAGGTGCCGCCTTCACTACACTCGGAAGCTAAGAGCTTTTGAACATGTGTTCTTTTGTCCCTATTAGCCTGTCCCACCCAAAATGAGAGAGAGAGCGAGAGAGAGAGAGTATTCTTTATTGTACACCAAAAAACAAATAAACGGTGCGATACATTAAATACAAAAAAGTACAATTGGCGGTCGTATCGATCTCTTCCAGACAACCATCAGGTGGACAAGAATCATTTGGAAACGAATTACGCGCCAAGCCAATGAGCCAAGCTTCCAGGTGTAGATTGCTGACTTGGGCTGGCGGTAGCATTATCAGTGTCCACCGGACTGATGCTCATATCTCTGAGCTTCATGAGTCGTTTGAGGGCAATTGATTTCAGGTCTGGCCTCCATAAGAACTTCATCCACTTGGGTACCACTAGTATGTACCGAACTGAGGCTGAGTTGAGGTGGTTCAGCACTCTGGGTATCAGACTGAGCGGCGGAAACGGCTATGCTAGTCAGTAATGCCAAGATCTGTTGAACGCGTTGTAGAGGCAGGCGTTCGAGTTTTACTTAGATGGGTGGACGAGCTCACAGCCCACCTGGTGTCAAGTGGTTACTGGAGCCCATAGACATCTACAACGTAAATGCGTCACCCGCCTCGAGATATAAGTTGTAAGGTCTCAGTATAGTCACAACGGCTGCCCCACCCTTCAAACCGGAACCGTTTAAACTGCTTTACACTTAAATCGTTTCGCAGGGCTCGGAAACGTGTCGAAGATCGCTTGAACAGGTTCGGTCTCCGAAAAATGGGGAAGAAAAGAGACGGCAGTATTGAAGAGAGCAGTGGAGGATGTAAGTTGTTTGTCTTTGTGTTTTATTTGAATAAGTAGCTCATATTAAGTGGTTACCAGAGCTGAAGCAATGCATATAATGTACTGGTATAATACTCAGAAAAAGCGAAAAAAACGTTTATTAAGATTTTTATTTAGATTTTTCAAATGTCAATGAGGTCCTTGGTCTGTATGCCGACTGAACATAAAATAAAGCTTAGTCCATCCCATTATCGGTACGTAACAATACTATTACTTATCGCGATATTCTAGTCCAAACCCCAAGAATGCAAATAAAACAAGCGATAAGTTGTAAAGCAATCACCATTTTTACACCTGATTTATCGTTCAATTGTTTAAAATGAACTTAATAAATATTCAGACATGTCACGAAGATGCTCAGCGGAAGGCGGGTCGGGTGGTGGTGAGTCTGAAGTGGTGGTGCTGAAGCGGAGACGTCTGGTGGCGGCGGCGCCCCTGTACGCGGGGCTGGCGCGGTTCAGCTTCATGCTGGACGCCACGCAGCCGGGGGCCACGCCCGACGCGCTTTTCATGGCCGCACTCTTAGATTTAGTAAGTTCTATCACATTTGGTTTTTTTTTATTGCTTAAATGGGTGGACGAGCTCACAGCCTAGCCCTTAAGTGTTTACTGGAGCCTATAGACATCTACAACGTAAATGCGCCTCCCACATTGAGATATAAGTTCTAAGGTCTCAAGCATAATTACAACGGCTGCCCCACCCTTCAAACCGAAACGCATTACTGCTTCACGGCAGAAATAGGCAAGTGATGGAACCAACACGTGCGGACTCACAAGAGGTCCTACCACCAGTATTTTTCAACTCCAGTATCAACTGCAATTGGCAGTAATAACAACGCATATAATATCTAAATCTTTATGATAGACGGCTGTAAATTATTAACAATGGTACTTTTTTCAGCCACACACAGCGGTCGTTGGAAGAGCAGCTATTATGTTAGAATGTGCTCATTTAGTACACAACTGTAACAAAGGGCAGTGGCCGTATTGGCTGAAATCTAACGTGAAGGGAGCAAGTAAGTTAATGTTTGACAAGTATTTTAGTTATATCATTTTAAAACAATTATTTTTTTTAAAATGTGGTCATATTCTCAGTTGCTTTATTAGAGTTGTCTCGACTAATTATTAATAATAAAAGGCTTTTTTTTTTTTTTCAGCCTCATTAAGCCCCCAACTCAGGAGACAACGTCTCGCTGGTAAACTTTTCTATCAATGGGCTGAAGTGAGTACAGAAAATTATGGAATTTTCATAGGATTACGTAACTATAAGCCTCGCGATTATTATTTCATTTTATTATTTCCCACGTTTTGAATACTTTACAGGTTTATTTTAAGTTGAGTATTTTAAATGTCGACACGATTAACAACTTACGGCCTGGCCACGGGGATCGGCGGTGCGAACAGCGAAGCGGTGGGCGAGGCGACCATTCGCGCAGCACCGTTTGCAGGCCACGGGTACTCACGTTCGCCGCCGCGACTAGTAAGGAAGTCCGACAGCGAAATGTCTATATCGAAATTATCTCGATATTGCTTACAAATTAATAGTTTTTTGGTTCAGGACCTATTATTTGGAAAAGATTGTGAAGTACATGATTTGAATAAGAATCGGAGTATACCTATAGATGGAGAATTCCACAAGAAGTACGAGAAATACTTTGGGTGGCTAGACTTCCAAATAGCTGGTCTAGCTAGTATTTCAGCTATTTTATTTTTTTATTGCTTAGATGGGTGGACGAGCTCACAGCCCACCTTGTGTTAAGTGGTTACTGGAGCCCATAGACATCCACAACGTAAATGCGCCACCCACCTTGAGATATAAGTTCTAAGGTCTCAAGTATAGTTATAATGGCTGCCTCACCCTTCAAACCGAAACGCATTACTACTTCACGGCAGAAATAGGCAGGGTGGTAGTACCCACCCGTGTAGACTCACAAGAGGTCCTACCACCAGTAATTACGCAAATTATTATTTTGAAGATTTCATTTTTATCACACGATGTTATTCCTTCACCGTGGAAATCAATCGTGAACGTTGAGTGTTGTTGAGTACGTATTTCATTACAAAAATTGGTACCCGCCTGATATTCGAACACCGGTGCATCGCTCAACACGATTGCACCGGACGTCTGTTAGGCCACGACGACTTTAAAAATATAAAATAAAAAATAAATAAAAAATATAAAAATTTCGGCGTTAATTTTTCGCGGCGAAAACAACTAAACTCATTTAATCACTGCACTATTCGCCGCGACTACCGCTCGACTCCGTGGCTCGCGCCGTCCGTATTCATGTATTTGTTTTGCTCGCCCGCCGCATCGCGCGATTCGCTCGGTACATTTCGCCGGTCGCTTCGCCGGTCGCCGGTGCGCGTGGCTTGTTAGGTACATTTCTATGCGCTTGTTTTAGTCGCTAGACGCTTCGCCGTTCGCACCGCGCGAATATTCGCATCGGCGAATGTCCCGTGGCCAGGCTGTTAGTCGTCCATGACCACGTAACCTGTATGTAGCATTCGAGACTTCGGAATAATAAAACTGAAAATAGTAAAAGCGAGATCAAACTTTAAAACTCATTTTAATTACAGGGTATACAAATTAGAAATGATATTTGAATATGGAATGTTTTATTAAATTTGCAGGCTATAGGAAACCGGCTTGAAGAGATGTTGATTGAGGACAAGAAACACATCGAAACTGTGGTTAATTTGGTAAACGACCCGGATGGACAGCGCGAGCTTCTGCAGCAAGACGAGGAAGAAGACTTTCTAGACGAAGGTACAGTACAGTACAGAAGGTGCTTATGTTTATGTATATGTAACCTCTATATGATTTATGTTGTTTCTCTTTATAGAGCAACTCAGTTTGTGCTATAGTTTTACTAGGCTAAAATTTATTTTTATGTGAATAAAATAATATATTATAAAACAACATTTACTTATCACAATTCAAAAATGTTTTAATATTTCTAATGTTTCAATATTCAGATTAAAATTTATGTCACCTGTATCACATATTAACCTCTTTTTAAGATTTATGTCATAAATCATATCGAGGTTCCAAATGATTCTTGTCACCTGATGGTTGTCTGACCGAGAGAAGAGATCACTCTTAGCGATAAGACCGCCAATTGTACTTTTTTGTAATTAATGTTTCGCATCGTTTATTTATTTTTTGATATATATATATAAAGAATACTCTCTCTCTCTAAAAACAATCTCTCGCAAAAATAATGAAAATTAAATATGTTTTCAGTCGAGTAAATATTTCAATGTCTTTACAGCCAGTATTCGCTTGCCTGGAAAACCGATTGGCGCCGATTGCCCTCGAGCGCTAAGAATCGTAGCCTGTGTGCTGTTGTTCGAAATCACTGCCTTCCTTCGCGAGACTTACCAAAGCCTGCCCAAGACATTCAGATCGTCTTTAAAAGAAAGAGGACCTTGGGACAGAGTCTACAGGTACTAAAATTCTATGTGATATACTTTCCTTATATGTTGGTAAGTAGTTGATATGTGTCTTGGTTGTATATCAATTTTTATTTTTTTTGTCATTATGTTATACGAAGATGGATGGAAAAACGACGATTGTTTTGTAACAATAAGTGAGTTCATAATTTTCAGTTCACTTCATATATTGAATTTAAATGATTGTATTTGACACTGCTTTTGTTTTGACAGGGCTATTAGCAGTCAACACACATTAATGCCAGTCGAGTATGTTCTCTGTTAACATAATGCATGTATCCATATAAACGCACTACTCGTGCATGCTTCTAATGTTTTGTAGAAGAAATTATCTTATAAAGACACAACATTCAATGTGGTGTTGTTTAAAAAAAACTTGGTGAAAGGTAGAAATATACGCACAATTATCGATAATATCACGTAAGGTTGAAAAAGTTAACATATCCTTTCTATAGATAAGTGTGACTGTATTTTGACACGACTACAAAGAAGCCGCCTCCATAAGACGAGCGACATTACGCTCTCGCCCGCCAAACCGCATACGCACATTGTGTGCGTAATGGCGTATTGCCAACAGATAAAATTAAATATCGTCATCAAAATTTTTGTTTCTACGATTATTTTAATAGTTAATTAAACTTTCATTCAAAAGTATGTGATCAGCATTTAACAATGTTTTCTTTATTCTTATTTTAGAATCACTAAGGAAAAATCGTGTGTTAAAATTGAAATGTCATAAATTGGTGATTATCAATTAATTTTTGTTTTAATATCTTAAGTGTCTTACGGTCGAGCATAGGTAACATTTAGAATTCGATTAGATCCGACTTTGCTTTATTCTGTGCTAGCGACGTGTGAATACATAAATTCACTGCAGTCATAAAAAAATAAACAAAAAATCATCAAACTTTCAATACAAAATAAAGGATATGTTTCCTATTTGTTAAATTCGACACAAAGTGTAAAATAAGTTTAACATAATTTTTTTATTTAATTCAAAACAGCAAGTACACAATTACTCTGCATGGAGTTTTAAAATCCACGCTAAAGTCAATATTGTAATAAAAACACGAATCTTAAATTTTACACATCAGAATAATATTACGTAATCTCGAAATAGAGTTGATAACTGAATAGTTTAGTTCAAATAGTGTTTAAAATCGCTTTGCTACATTGGCATGTCGATACAACTTGATTTTTTATTTGAATTTAAAACTCGATAGAATCGATCGATAGAGCTCACTTAGTTTAAATCGGCCCCAATTAGTGAGTTCGATTTCCAAAATTGATTCTGTAAAAGCGTTTACATGTTTGTTAGGGAAGCGAATCGTCGATGGAGTATGGCTTTATCGAGCATGGGACACTCACAAGCGTCCGCACAAAGCCTCCAGTCGATTGCAGGAGCCGAGACTGAAAGGAAAATATCTTTTGTTCTACATGAACCCGAAAATGTCTCTGGAGGCAGTAATGTCACTGTAAGTATCTTCCCAAAAGAAGAAATAGAATGTTAACACTAAGCCTGGGCCATTGTTTTATTGTAAATATTTTAGTTGGCAGATGCCATACCACCGATACAGGATGAGAAACGAGGGAAACTAGGGTCGAGGGGGAAGGGGGGAATGCATCGTCGCAACACACAGCAGGCGCATTCCGCCTACGGATCCTTCAAGAGACGCTCTATCAAACTGAGGCAGAAGGACAACAGGGAGGTCGATGAATGTAAGTATCGCATTTAAGATATGTTGGCATGGAAAGTGAGATTACTTCACAACAATGAGTACAGGTAATCCATTTATAACACGGTATTTCTACAACACGACAAATTTTGTTTAAGAATATTACAAATGCACTACGAACACACAGTATATTTGAGTATATGGGAATTATCGAAGTCTTACTGCTTATTTTTTATATATAACTAGCTGACCCGGCAGACTTCGTAGTGCCCCAATCGATAAATAAAATACCTAAACTTTTGTATAAAATAAACAAAAGGAATCCGTCCGACGGGGGACACATTAAAGGAAAAACAAAATTGTTAATTTTATTTAATTCCGAGCATTTTCATATTTACCTACCGTTTAAACCTTCTCTGAACTTCCACAAATAATTCAAGACCAAAATTAGCCAAATCGGTCCAGCCGTTCTCGAGTTTTACCGAGACTAACGAACAGCAATTCATTTTTATATATAGAGAAGATAAGTAAAAAAATAACATTCCGGCGTAGTTGAGATATTTCATTCAGAAAAATTACTTTCCGTTTTGTACTGGCTTCTAGTCTCATATAACACGGTTTCGCACAACACGGCACTTTGTGGGAACGTATCTACCGTGTTGTAGGAACGCTACCTGTACTACAATTACAATCTTGTACATATAAGTAATATGAGTTTCAAGAAGTCTTTCATAATGTAGTAGTACCACTACAAGGACTTTTCAGTCATATATAACTTTTTTCGGAATAAATTAATCATATTTGAATATATAATTTAAATAGAACACTTTAAAAATAGTTTATTTTCACGCGCAGTTATCACAAGAAGATCAGATTCCATACAAAGCAAACGTAAAGTATCGTCTCTCTCAGACCGGAGCGACACTTCAGAAGTCTATCCAGGAGCTGGTAAAGTATCAAAATTAATCGCTATTGTATTCCGTATGAGTGCAAGTATCATTTTCGTCCATATTAAAGAAATTCGTACATTATTAATTATGTGAAATATATGAGTTGAATTATCTGCAATAGCATTGTACTATTTAGGAGGTACCGTAATAATGCCCAACGAAGTGGATAGCGGCGGTGAAGAAAGTCCCGGAGTGCTATCTGATGATCACGATCACCCGCCCGACAGTCCCGACAGCAACTCCACTGATCCCCCGGATACTAACAAGGGCTTCCCCTGGCTTAAGGTACGTGCTACTCTTTATCCCGGGTCCAGTATCTCGCAAATTCATTGTTATTTGGATTCAAAAAGTCGAATCGGTTTCTAAATCTTTTTAGGAGCAATCTGGTTGTAAATGTTTTTGAAATGTGTTATTATAACCCTACAATTAGAAAATGACCTTTTCAATTAATTTCCAAACCTATAATGTGTCTTTCTAAATTTTCCTAGGTGATGGTGAAATTTTTGAATTCCTTCAATTACGTTTGCTGCCATCAGAACTTCTGCCACCCGTATTGTTTCCGGCGCAACATGCGGGCGAGTACGAGACTTATGAAGTCAGTACTAAAGGTAATCATTTATAAATTATTAATTTATCTCTCATCAACCGAATGATCATGGTTCTATACTCTTCGTATATACTAGTGTTACTGTGTTACTTATAATATTTGCTATGTGTATGTGCATTACTATAATTCTCATGTTGTATTTGTTATTTTGTTTATGTGTTATTTGTTCTACACACACTCATCACTTTTTATTATTATTCTCATAATCCTCTCGCAGGTCTGCTGGAAGAGATTTCTTAAAGAAATAAGCAGTGCCTTTGTACATAATTTTCCTATTACTCTGTACTATGTCTTGTTTTCTGTGTGTACATAAATAAATAAATAAATAAAATCACTACATTCTATGGACGATCAAGAGGACAAATAAGTCTATTCTAGATCAGTTTCGCATCTCGCTACCAGAGGATCCTCAACTACTTCGGTCACATTGCCCGCCAACAACCGGATAACTTAGACAAAATGGTTGTGCGGTATGATTTGTGATTGTGACAGTTGTGACAAATTGTGACAAATTGTGATCAAATAAGCACCCTAACTGAGCTGCCAGTCGCGACTGCCTACGAGAACCTGACGACCGGACGGGGTGGAACCAGCTCACGAGACAGGCCACCGTCAAATTTCGAGGACACGACCTTCAGAAATGAATAAAGCGACGGAAAAGCAGAAATCACTACATAATTCCTTATCACGAATAATGAAAGTTTGTGTTAATAGATTTACGGAGAGAAGTTTGGTCCAGAACAAAACGCGGCAAGCTCTGAAGAATGTGTCGGCGAAGCTCGTCGTGGTAGACGAACACGGAAACCATCCGAACATTGCACTGATAGGTGAGCTGGAAACACAATAATATGGCAACACATTGTACCTCACTATGAATACGAAATATGCCAATGTACGTTATTTGTAACATTTTCACATTTTCAAATAAGTAATGAGAAAGTATCCCGCTTCTGACACTGCCTCAAAAATATCGAATTCAAATAATTATTCACAAGTATTACATTGAAAAAAGACAAGCCTTATAAATTTATTTGTACTAGCTGACCCGGCAGACTTCATAGTACCTCAATCGATAAATAAAAGACTTACTTTTGTATAAAATAAAGTTAAAACAAAAAAAAGGAATTCGTCCGACGGGGGGGGGGCACATTAAAGGAAAGACAAAATTGTTATTTTTATTTAATTACGAACATTTTCATTCATTTATCTACCTTTTAAACCTTCTCTGGACTTCCACAAATAATTCAAGACCAAAATTGGTCCAGCCGTTCTCGCGTTTTAGCGAGACTAACGAACAGCAATTCATTTTAATATATATAGAAGATAGAAGACTAGGGTATGATTCGATTGTATTAATTAATTGTCATGACATACAGTTGCATGTATAGATAATTGCTAAATTCACCATTGATAATTAAAAAAGTAAATTTATCAAAATATCAACAAACGATGAGGGCTGTCTTAAAGGATTATCGTTACAATCATACAGATATAAAATGTCATAAAAACTGTTATCTAATATATGCTACCTTTGACAGGATTGACAGATCGGTAATAGAGAGCGCTGGCCTCGCGTACAGAGCGGCGGGGGGCGAGCATGCACTGCCGCACACAGATGCGCCGCCCGCCGCCAAGCCCGGAGCTGTGCCCTATCCCCCTGGCGACCCCCCTGCCATACTCAAGTATCTCAAAGGGCAGGTACGAGGCTCTTTAAGACTTTATTTTTGAAGTGCAATTTCTTTAGACGCGTTGAGAGTAAAATTTAACTCGCGACATATTCGTTACGGCTAGAGAGAAAATATATAATTTACGGCGAGCGAGAATGAGAAAATAGATAGAGCGTTTCGTGAACCTTGGAGAGAAAGAGAAGGCGAGCTAGAACGTTTCACTTATACACATTCTATTTACGGGCGTCGGCCACTAGATGGCTTGTTATTAGTTTCTCATTGCTCCTGCAGATGGCAGTAACACGGCAAGGATTTAAAAGTTTTTTTAATTGTACTATATATTATTATCATTTAAAATATATATAAATGGTGAAGAGGTCGTTTCTCTTATACACAGCATTCCCTATTAAAAGAGAAATTTGATTTATGTATGAAAAATGAATAAAACCACAATACTACACACCGCAAAAGAAGTTTCACATCTTTAACGTGCAGCAAGTTGCACACACGTGTACCAATTTGCAGGCGCTTTTTTTTTTCAATAGCCTCACTCATATAGTATGTTAAATATCTGACGTTTTAACAAGTAACATTATGTGCATTTGTTTATTACAAGACAGCAATTTCGTTTAGGTTCGTGAAGCGTATCACACTCCACTTGCAACGCTAATCAAAGGAGCGACCACGATGAGTGAAGAAATGTTCGCCGAATCGGCTCGAGTGGCTTGGCAGCTGCTGTTAGAGTCGGATAGGGAACTGAGCTCGTGTGCAGCGGCGCTTTTTATATTGGCGGCCGTGAAAGCTCCTCAAGTTGCCACCGAGATAATGCATAATGATCTGAAGCATACCGAACCGGGGATAAGGTAAGAAAAATTGTATTATTGTTATTCGTATTTGATTTCACACAAAACAAGATAAATATGGGTAATAGTATACGGGCCTGACCATGTTGCTAATATTAACCCTAGCAAGAGCAGTGTTTCGCAAAATGGTAGATACTATGGTAGACCGGATCGCAAACGCGACCCACTGAGAAGATCCGGTGAGATACTCAGTGGACTGTGTCTGTAGGTTAATTTACTCGTCGAGCCCTTCGTCACAAGCGACGGGTTTGACGAGAACGACGACCGGTGCTTGAGGTACCTAAAAGCACCATTAATGAATCGGGAGGATCGTGACGTGTTTTGGGTGACGTCGACTGTTTACCATTCGGTCCGCAAGATCGGGAATGAGAATCTATAGCTAAGCTATTATTATACGCCAATCTATTATTTCTTTTGGATTTTAGGATCAACGCTATTCTAAGGTTCCAAGTAATATGGAAACTCCGTTATCAAGTCTGGCCTCGTATGGAAGAAGGAGCGTCCATGACGTTTAAAGTTCCACCGCCGGGCATCGAGTTTACACTGCCTTCGCCGAAGATCGGTATAGAGTCTTTAGCGGTTGTTGACCCACCATGGAGTCCACTCGTCAAAGACAAGGATATGGAGATGACGCTAAATCAAGAGAGACATGTAAATACATTAGAATTTTATGCATATATTTCGGTGTTGGTAAATTAAACTGAAATTTTATGAATACCTATATGTTCCGATGTTAGTAAACTAAACTTGTTATTTTGTAAGACAATGTAATTTCTAAAAAAACACAATTTAATTTAATTTTGTTCTATTCATCGCCAGATGTGCTTATGATATACTTGGTATTCAGTAGTTATCAGAGTCCATATTACGAGCATGACTGTCGTCAATGGATTGCATGATTAAAGTGGTATAGAACAGTTATCCGCTGGGACTAAGAAGTTCTCGATTGGCTACCGCGTACCGGGAAACGTAGCGAGGGTAGAACACCCACAAGGTGAATCGATATATTGAAGGTCATGGGACACCTCCGGATGCAGGCAGCTTAGGACCGGTCGTTGTATCAAGCCTTGGAGGAGGCCTATGTCCAGAGGTGGTCTGGAAAAGAGACAACCTTGAGCATAGCAATTCTGTTACGGAGGCGCTCGGGCGTTTGATAGCAAATCCCTCCGGCTAAGCCCATGCTTATTTACTTGGTCTAGTGTAGATGGAAAGGCCTCTGAGGCACAAGCAAGCCGTCCTCTCCAAAGAAACTAGTGATACAATAAAATTTTATTCAATGTTTTTATTTTGGTAGCGTTCGTTAGTAACAGCAACGAAAACGCGCAAGAAACAACAGACCGAAGCGATGAAACTGGCACTACAGCAACAGAACGACAAGAAACGAGCCGAAAGAGAGAGCTTCCTCATCACCACCATACCCATCACGAGACAGGCGGCCAGGGAACCGGCTCTGGATCACGCGGCTGATGATCATATTGAACGTGAGTCAAATATTAATTGTGCATAGTCCTACTAGTGAAAATGAGACGGTCACCAATGATAAACATTTTATTTTCTCTTTTATAAAGACACTAGTGAAACCCGGTTACTATTGACAATTTCATTCAAAAATTTTGTTCACTTGTGCGTCATCTTTCGTACGTTGATCGTATATTGTTTATGTGCTATTTTGTGCTGAAATGTAAGCTATAACATTGTAAAGTTTCATCTAAATTTGTTCAGTAATTTTACGTGAAAGAGAAACTAACATTCCGTTTTCATAATCTATATATTATTATATAAAAATTTTAGTCTCGCTAAAACTCGAGAACGACTGGACCGATTTGGCTAATTTTGGTCTTGAATTATTTGTGGGAATCCAGGAAAGGTTTAAAGGGTAGATAATATGCAAAGGCTCGGAATTAAATAAAAATAACAATTTTGTTTTTCCTTTGATGTGTCCTCCCCCGTCGGACGAATTCCTTTTGTTTGTTTGAGGATTATTTTTTTTACAAAAGTTTAGGTCTTTTATTTATCGATTGAGGCACTACGAAGTCTGCCGGGTCAGCTAGTCTTTCATATAAAACCGGGGTTCCGTTGATCCAGCACCAGCTGACGAAGAGATAGTAGAAGGCGTGCGGGGCACTCATCACACTCAAGCGGCATCAGCTCTGTTCCCTTCTACTCTGTGCTCGGCGGTGGCGGAGATAGTCGCCTTGTTGGACGACGCGGCTGTGTCCAGAGATGGATGCTCTGTATATGAAGTTGCTTATCAGGTACCAGCTTCGGGCAAACATCACATCATAATATCTCTAAATTTAAAAAACTATATAACCCTATAATGTAACATCTTTCATATCTCCGACCCTGGCCTTTAGTAGGTTCGGCCCCTAGCCAGAAAATAAAATTTATAGGGTATATGGTGAGCGTTCGCATGTAGGTACCACTATGTTATCCATGTCTGCAGCATAGCAGCAGTGTTATAATACAACTTAGACTTCAACCTCATGTTTCATTGTGAATTATCATTGAATTATCGAGAATATTCCAGACATTTCTAGTAGTCGTTTCCACTATCTGTCAATAGATGGCGTTGTACTTCTCGAGCGTTCTAGGCGCTTCTAGGTCCTTCGATATTCGATCGAGTATTCGGTGATAGATGGCGTTACTCTTACCGGCGTAACAACAGCATTAACGTTCATAACTCTGTAGCCTTTTGGTACCCATTTAACACTTTATAAGAACATATTTAGAATCGACCCCATTTGCTACTCTGACAGGTGATCTGGTGTTGTCTAGTGGAGGACTCTGCTTTATTCCTCCGTCATGTCCTCGAACGTCTAACGAGAGATCACCAGGACGAGATGTTCAAACTGCTCCGGCACCTGATAAGGTTCATACCGCGCCTGCCGCAACAGGCGGCTTTCGCTCTCTATAACTACATCATTGGTTACGTCATGTTTTACGTGAGGAGTCCGCACGAAGAGGGACAGAGGCTGGTCGGTGCCGCGCTATCTATATTATGGATGGTAAGTTTTTATTAATATGGAACTCCACATTGGTCTACGATATATCTTTAATGACAGTATATATAGGACTATATGTATCGGCAGCTTTGTTTTTATACTATGGGTTGATGAGCTCTCGGTCCTCATGGCCTTAAGTGGTTACTGGAGCCCATAGACACCAACAACCTACCCTACTTGCTACTGCCCTACTTTAAAAACCGGAAAACGTTACTGCTTCGCCGCAGGCTTATCGATCAATAACACTCGCTCGGTCAAAGATTTTTCTTTGTTGTTTTCTACATTTGACCGTTTGAAATCAACAGATGTATAGAAAAATGCTGATTTGAATAGTTTTATTTTCAACGCTTTTTTTATTCAATTATCCTTTCAGGTGGTACACAGCGTGCATGGTATAATGTTTAAGGATTTGAAGCAAATCTTACGTAAAGAACAATGTGACGCATCCATATTGCTAACGGCGAACGTGCCAGCTGCGAAGAAGATAATTGTTCATGGTCCATGTGAGGAGCGTATTACTTATATAAAATCGAAAAAGAAAGAACAAGCCTTTTGCATAGTCTAACTGTAACAAAATAATTTTGACATTATCCTCAGAAAGTGTTGCATTTTTAACTTTTAGTAAAAAGCAAAAATGTATCATAATACCTATCTAGATATAAAAACGTCCTTTGCTGCTTCAAATGTATTTTATATGAAGATTTTGTAGAAGCGAAAAGACACTTTAAATGTACAATAATTTCAACATTACAGCTGATAACGAAGGAAGTATCCCATCACAATTTCCTGTCCAAGAGGATACAGTTTTTGCTCAAATATTGAAGGAGTCCTTAGACTTCTTCAGTATACCAGAAAAATTGCACAAGGAACACTTTCTTGTCGATTTCAAAACGCGTAAGTGTTTTACACGTATCAAAAGATACAATATTAAAACAACGACATAATACATACCTTGAACATCTATTTTAGGTCAAATCCACAACCCTCAGAACTACGTGCGTGATCACTATTTCTTCAAACGTTCGCAATATCCTCAGCTGGGTCTAGTCCACATGGAACCCGAGGAGGCATTCAACAAACTGCAACAGCAAGAATTGCTTCTCAAGTTCATAGAAATAGGAAAAGTTTTGCTCACTTGGGCGATTCTCAAAAATGTTGATATGGTATGTAAAACCATTGAACTATGTGCTAGAATCGATCGACTCTCACATCAATACGTTTTTCTGTTCTTTTTTGTTTGTTTTTAATAAAGAAATAGTTTCGTAAATTATGAATAAGAGATAATTTACGTCCAACACACCAAAATTTTTTTTTATTTATATTAATTGGCCCATTGATTACATGGTTGCTCACCCCTATGCTAGAATGTTTTAATTCTAAAAATTCAATTATAATGCAACAATGCTCTAAATAAATGTCAGGCAAAGCTCCCGAAATATAAAAATCTCTGCAAATTTTCACAGGTGGTACAGAGAGTGGTATTCTTGCACGACGAACTTATGAAACTACCCTCGTTTCCTCGCAAAGCGCTCGAAGCCGATCTAACGTTGTACAGTCGGGGACACCTTGGCACCACTTTATTGGGACTCGATGTATTACACAAATTTATGTTAGTATAATATTAATTAAATCACTACATAGTATAAAACAAAGTCGCTTTCTTTGTCCCTATATCCCTATGTATGCTTAAATCTTTAAAACTACGCAACGGATTTTGATGCAGCTTTTTTTAATAGATAGAGTGATTGAAGAGGAAGGTTTATATGTATAATAACATCCATTAAATAGTGGAGAAATTAATAATAAATTACCATTTCCGAAGCGAAGAGGGCGGGTCGCTAGTCAATAATAAAGCTTTATTTTTTGAAGTGGTCATTCAATTAAAAGTTTTAGTAATTTTATTTAATTTTTTAAAAGAAAGAAATTTTATTTTTCGTATGTATGAGCTGGCAAGTTCACAGCCCTTTGCGGCGGTTAATCAATTACAAAAACCTACAGACTTCCACATCTGAAGACATGAACTCAAAGTGACACTATCGTACTGTCCTGTTTCTCACCTTATCGGGATTTTTCAAATATATTTTTAATAAACCATATTGTTCATTCGTTGTGGGTATGGGCCATATGAAGACATACAATAAATAAATACAAAAGAGTACCTCCCAATATCGGAGTATAGCAAAACCAAACTACCGAGAACACATTATCTTTAAAATATTAATATAGATCATCGTTTTGTTATTAGGTGGGTTCGTTTGATCGCACGCATGTTCGAAGCGATGGCCGGAAACTTCACGTCTTCACGCGACATACATTTGTTTTTGAACGTATTGAACGGTGCATTAATGCTTCACAGCGAAGACGCATTGATATTAAGATACGTTATTGCGACATATGTAAACGCTGCATCGAACTTTAAAAGTATATTCTCAACAAATGGGTAAGTTCTCGATCTCTGTTTAGAACATTGTGTAACCATGCTGTAGTTTGATTTGTTTTGCAGATGTATGACTAACATATTATGTCAACTTGCTTGTGATTAGTAGGGCTGAGTGGGTATTAGTTTGGTGCAAGGATATGATTGGATAAGATCGTAGGATGGTCCACGACTATCGGGACTCTAGGTCGCGCACTTAGACAGTGCCGTCAACTCGTACCTGAGTACGGACTTTCGTCACCCCATTGCTCTTTCACAAGATGATCGTAAAGCAGCTTCCACATCTTTTGAAATTTTAAACCTCGCCAGTGCCTAATCCCGGCACATAGAAATAACCTTTTGAGATCCACCCTCGGAGCTTTTAGACTTTATAAGCACCGGTCACCGTTCTGGTTGTTCTAGTTCAACGTGCAACCTAAGATACAACCCACTGGATTTCTCGTTGAATCTTTTTAGTGAGTCGTGATTCCGATCCTATGATAGATTCAGCGAAAAACTGCTCTTACTAGGGCAGATGTTAGCAGATTATTTTAGCCTGAGCCCCTTGAGACCCACCACCAGTCAGGGTACAGCCAGACTGACCCGTCCAGGCTACTGGCAAATAACTAGATAATTAGAGACGAACCGAAACACTTAAGGAGCGATATCCCTATCTCGAATCACGTCTCGATAGTGATGGGTTGGAGCGCGGTGTCGCTTGCACACCCTAGACCCTGTTTCTGCAAGAATCCACTCGCAGAAATAGAGTATCGCTCGTTACCACTTTTTGCCGAATTGTGCGAAAACAGTTACACCAAGTGGAAAGTGAGGCCTCTACAGTTGCCATTCACCCCGTGCCTGAGAATCAAGCGAATGGCCTAGACAATTCAGAGATCAGCCTGAGAATCAATAGATGCTTCAAGTAAATACTAAAATTATTTTTGGTTTCATTTTCAGGTATTTACTGATCATGCCAACACTACTTCAAATCTATTCAAATTTTCAAACAAACAAACTTGTAACAACTACAATTGAGTACGCAGTGAAACAATTTTACTTATTGAATAGAAAACCATTTATACTCCAAATGTTCGGCTCAGTGTCGGCCATATTGGATACTGATGAAGAATCTATTTACGGGGACGCAAGCAAAGTAAGCTAAATACAAAACTGTAAATAAAATCATTTGACACAGATATGTCGTAGGATCACTTGAGAAAATTTAGATCAATTTGATTCATTTTTTCGTTATAAGATAAATTTTTTTGAAAACCGTATCCAAATTGTCGATAGTCATAACAAAGCATGATCGGGCTTCGTTAGTTATAAAGTTAAAAAATTCACAAAATTAACATAGACGAGTTCATTGTTCTTGAGAAACATCTATACATTTGCCTCATGATTTGTTTTAATAAAACTAAACACATAACCGGTAATTAACATGAAGAAATTTATATTTTTTTTTACTCAAATAAAATGACGTTATGCTGACTTATGAGCTCTTGTCTTTCAGACGACTATTTTGGGAATTTTCTAATTTAATAACTCAGAAATATAGGTGTTTTGTAATGACTTTACCAGTGGTTTAATTTTTAAAATAACAAAATTTGCTTCCCTTTCTACATTATTGTTAGATTCGAATTAGTCCATGGGAAATAAAATTCTAATATTTTATCCGTTATTAACCTATTAATATAGTAATGTTGCAGTATGTTCAAAAAGTAAGGAAATTAAAATTTTATGATTCGCTTAATGTAACAATTATGTATTTCTGTAAAATGCTCCAAAATGATATTTTTTTTATTACCAACGAAACAAAACGTGCTTTGATCTTAACTTGTGACTGTAGCTGATGGACTTGACATAAAATTCCACAGAGTATTTTCAAAAGTGAATAAAAATCACTATTGAGTTTCTTTCCTTTTAAAAGCATATTTAAAATTTGATATTACACAATAAACTTAAACGGTATGGAGTTTGCACATCATTTCAAAGATGCTGCCTATGATTGCTCATTAATTCATCATGGAAGTAGTTTATAAACACCATGATAGGTACAATGTATAGAAAAAATGGATATTTGGTACGGTACAGTCAGCTGATCACACTAAGCCCTTTCAATTATGAGCCCACAAAGAGTTCTCCAATAAAACAATTGTTTCATTTTCTCAGGTGCAGTCCAGTTGTTTGTTCAACTTGCTTCTCAGCTTAGAAACGCCGTCCCCGGATCCACTACACATAGCCGAACTAATCAAAGAGGACAAACCTTTGAAGCCGATAGATTTTTGCTACCGTGACGAAGAGGAGATGGTCAACGTACTGGACTGCATCAGTTTGTGTGTGATGGTCGTATCATATTCAGCCGAGAGTTTCAGAGGGTATCAAATGTTGGTAAGTCCCTAATTGCATAGAATATAACAAGAAAGCCGGCTCAGACCAAACAACCGAACTAAATTCAATTTAGCTAAACTCTACTGGTGCGCTAAAAGTCCACTATCCACAATAGTTTTACAAATATTATATAAAATTTGATTTAAAAAAAAAAATTGTCGATAATAAAATTAGCTCATAGTCAATTCAGAACAAAACGTCAAGTACGGAACAATTGATCTGGGAACCATACATCACTCAGTCCATGTTCGTGTCGTTGTATTTTAAACAGGCTGTGTTAATACAATAGATGAGTCGTCTATTATCAAAGGTGGCAATCTGTGCATTTGGACAAAAAAATGTTATTGATATGTCAGTACAGATTGATTTGAATATAATCGTCTCCTTCAAAGAATACGGTTCAAAACCTGCATTAAATAAAGGTTAATACTTAACCTGTTATTTATCTAAGATGTCGTTCAGAAGAGTTTTGTGACTGCCAATGGAATACAAAGTCAATAATTCGTTTTTCTGATTTACCAATAATTGTCCAAAAGTCACATTGCCGGCTTTGATAATAGTCGACTCAGATAACCAAACAAAAAAACTATGGTAATAATATTTATTATTTTTATTAGATAATACTGGAAGCAATATTGCCTTGCTACGTCAAGCAAATAGAGTCTCCCACTTATAACAGAGAAGGTAAAACGGAGAAAGAGATTATTCAACAGCTCGCCATTGCCATTAAAACTCTGGTCAACAACTGCGAGGGATTATCCAAGTAAGATTAATAATTACAACAAATGTGAAATTAAATATAAATCAAATCGAAGTCTTGTAAAACAATAATTATGATCTATTGTTTATATTTTTGATCCAAAGATCGTACAATGGGCCGTATCGGACATCGCCCGAGCATAAGGGTTCGTCCCAGAGAGCCGGTCAACGGACCACGGCCGCCACGATCATAGCTTTTGAAGAATCGCATTCAAAATTCGACAACTCTAAGCTGCCAGTGCAAGAATACACTGGTACTGAAGACTCGGAAGTAAGTATAGCTGCTTAGTACGATTTTGGACAAATAAGAAATGGTTATTTAATTCGCTCAGACGTCTGAGAAAACGTCTTGAATGCAGTCGTAACGCGTGTATATTCTATTTAATATTAATATAATATAATTAATTTTACTTAAAATTTAATTACATTCTCTTTTTATTAGTTTATGATGTATTTACTGAACTAGCATTTAATTAAGCAATTGCTTATTGAACGGCCAACACGAAAGTAATATTTTTGTGGCTGTACGGTCACCACAACCACATACCACATGAAATATACCACGTGAAATATCGCACGACAAAACACCGTGAATACATAGTTAAGGTTTATACAAACGTTCTAGTATTTTATAACCACACCTACTGATGTCAAATTTAAAAATAAATTAGGTTAAGTAGACTCTAATTAGGGAATCCCATATTTTTATCGATTCAACAATATCTTATACCTTATTTCTAACAGGCACGTTCGATGCAAAATTCTGTAGTTTTATTTCCTTCCTTTTTGAATTGTCAACCATTATTTATTAAACCAACCTAACTTACGTTCTAATGACAGACTAACTGACATTTTATTATAAAGATAAGTATTAGTTTTTTATACACAATTAGTAAATTTCCCTGAAGATCACCATTGACTTTAACATTCTCCATGTCTACTAGCAGGCAATGACTAAAAAGATTGTCTATTTGGCAGCTGGTGCGCGCAGAATACCGTCGTCCTAGAGACGTGCTGTTGTCGTTGGTCGGCAACTTCATAGGGCACGCCACCGCGCGGCTCATTGAACTGAACGGGTCCAAGGGCAGCGGCGGCAGCGAGGGCAAACCCGTCGAACTCTTGGACTGCAAGTCACACGCTGTAAGACGTAATAGAGTTAAATAATTTAAGAGTCGTCATCAGTGACGTCAAGTAAGAAACAAATATAGAGGAAGTTTTTTCAGTCGCCTAATAAAGTGCGGTGTGCTTAAAGTCATTCGTAGAGATAGAGATGAGATATTCTGTCCCTCTTCCGCAAATCGAATGCTGGAAGTTTTGGTATGACGCGCGGGAACATTGTCGCTCTTATCCAATATAAAGCGTACTCTGTCTAGCTAATAAAATAAAAACACTTTTAACTTATATCTGAATTATGTTTACGATCGCTTGTATTTATCGCTAGCTTTGATGAATGAAAAAAATGTAGATTACAAATACATAATAAAATCGGTCCTTTTTACTAAATTGAAATGTATTATGTAATCTAGCGACGTGCTTTACCAACAGCAATAATGCAAGCTGAGTTATTTTTCAAGTGAAACCCATAGTATTCCGTGGTACGTGGAAAATAGCTCGCTCCCATTAAATATGGTCTATAAAATAATTTCGTTCTTTGTCCTAACCTTTATACTAGATTTTTCCGGTTAATTATTCACAAAAACGAAAATAAAATGCCTTTTTTTGGTTTAAAGTTTGCTTTTATGATAGTTATAGTAATAATACTCATTTTTAATTTTTTTTATAAACTTTAATTAATTTTAATACTTTCAAAAAAACCGCGCTATGAGAGTGGGGTGTTTACGTTTACACAGTGCCACTCGAGTGCCAGATGGCACTCGAGTCATAAACAACTATCAGGTGTTTGTGTACAAGCCCAGAAAAACTTAAAATGTCACGAAAGTGTAAATACGATGCTGATGCATTTTGTTTCATATGTGGTCAATTTATTAAAGTTCAAAAGCAAACTGTTTTATGCCATGTATTTTTTTTTCGTCTAATTACGATTTAAAATAACGAAATTTTATGCTTTGCAATCAAAGTTAAATTTGGTGTTGTGCTCTATCCCGTGTTATGCTTTGATGTTGTACTATTCCAGCGTTTAGCCGAGATAGCCCACTCCCTGCTGAAGGTGTCGCCGTACGACCCCGAGTCGATGGGCTGCCGCGGGCTGCAGCGGTACATGATGGACGTGCTTCCCGCCGCCGACTGGGAGAACGACGCGCTGCGGCCCGCGCTCAACATGATCCTGCGTCGGCTCGATAAGGTCTTCCTGAAGATCGCCAAGAAACCGAGCATACGGGTGAGACGAAAGCTATTAAAGAAACGGACATCGCTCACTGAAACATAATTTAAAATGGATTTTTTTTTATTTCCAGAGGAATACAGCATGGGATTCAGCAGCGACATTACTGAAAGGCGTGTACGAAACGATGACGCGATGCACGTACATAATGCAGTGGCCACAAGTGAAGACTCTCCTCAATACGATCCAAGTACGTTAGCGTACTAAGCACTATCTACAGTGTGTCATAAGCTCTATATCTTAATTAATAAAAAAATATTTAGTCCAAGGGTTCCTGAAAACAAAACAAGAGTTTTTTTTATGTTAAGGAATTTTATTACCTTGTAACTAAGACCTTTAGGTCAAGTCTTATTTTAATTTTAATGAAAACTTTTTTATATGTAAAATGATATTATGAAATGAAACGAAATGGAACGAAATGGTATGATATGATATGAAATATAATCTCAGTAAAATGATGGTCATTCACTGAGAATTTTTCAGTGGACTTTTTGGAGAATCCCGAGAAGCTATCTTCAGCGGCTTTGTTTCATTCTCCCACATTTGTTCACTTTCACAGATAATAAAAAGTTTATATACCACCGTTATAAGACATTTAAACCTGAAGAAACACTAAATAGACAAAATAAAACAAATCACACAACTTCACTCCCCGCGTTCCCGCCAAAAAGTTAAAACATGCTTAAACAACGTGTATGATACATTGTTTGAAAAAAACTAATACGAGTAGACATCCCAGAACACAAAATATTTGACAGATGCCTGAATCTCGCTTACGACATATTCAAGATAATCTTACATATATACAAGTTCCGTAGAACAACATTTGAACCGTCGGTCTAACGAGTAATATCACCCGCTTGGTGGAAGATCTTCCCTTTATCGTATACTTACATTGACGACGACAACTGACGTTAAGATTGCACCAAACACGTGCAATCCCGTCGCGTTCACGAAACACAATGACAAATTTAATGCAATGTACCAACGAATGTCGCCATCAAATTTGCCGCTTATACCAATTACGGCCATGTGAATGCCGTTGTTAGATTATCGCAATGAATCGTGGTTACAACTATGACTAACGTTCATCGTCGCTATAACGTGTGGTCCCCCATAAGGCCGTTCTTTAGCTTCCTTGTCCTTCTACAGGCGTTGATAGTGTCGGATAACAACAGCGGCGAGAACTTGTCTTCCGCGACTGCCGCGCTGATGTCTCAGCCGCCACCTCCACACTTTTGCAGCACCGTCGTCCGACTAATTGCACTGCAAGTTATTAACACCGGGGTAAACATTAATTTGACATAACTGTTTTTTTTAAAAGACGACTTTTTAAATTTTGTAGTTTTAATTAAATTCTAAATGTAAGTTATTCTATTTTGAGTCTTATGTTCCAGGATAGCTACTCTTTAGAACAAATGTGTGGTGGCAGCGCGATATTTCCTACAGCCGAGAAAACGGAGAATATGCTTATGAATCTATTCATGCCTCTGTGCTTAAGAGTCGGCAGTGGGAGAAAAGGTAAGATACAAATGAAAAAGTCATCATCTAATAGACAATACTATTCCACTAATTTCCGGAGCAAATAGAGGGCAGTTGCGGTCACTTACGAAGTCGAGACTTTGGCAACTACTTAATACAAGGTTTGAGGTGGTAAACGGCGCAATTAAGAACTGTGAGGCGGTAAATGATGTCTATTTATTTAGGTTTTGAATATATATTTTTTTACGATACCCTAATAGTTTGTATGATTTTTCAGACTGACATTTTGTTCTATGACGGCGACCACATGCTCGTGCATTTGTACTCTACGATTTGTACACATGATCACTCTCGCCTTCCGACTTCAATATTTTACTAGAATTGTTTATGCAATCTATATATTTCAGGCTCAGGCCGGCACGTTAAGGTATACTACGAACTCGTCCGCCCACTTAGTTTGCTAAAATAATAATAGTAAACTTAACATAATAATCGATGAGGAAACTACCTTTTTGAATGATTAAAAAAAAATTGTAGACTAAAATTTACAGGACAACCTATACGAACGTGCTTATAGGATGCAATAGAAAACTCATGAAAACATCCAAAACAAAAAGATCGCTATTCTTGTTGCGTTAAAAACCGTATTGGATGCAAACGTTCCCCCGTTGCGTCAGTCGGACGTGTACATGATAATTTATGAAAATAAAAACGCCAAAACAAAAAGATCGCTGTTCCTGTTGTATCAAGAACCGTATTTGACGGCAGACGTTCCCCCGCTGCGGCAGTCGGACGTGAGCTACCTGGTGTCGGTGGTGCTGAACGCGCTGTGCCCGCCGGCGCCGCCCGGGCAGCTCGCGGCCGTCAACGCCAAACTTAACGCATCCGACGCACGCGTCAACTCGCTCACCTTCACCGGCAGCAGGGACACCAGGAACACGACCAGGCTGTCCAACCAACTCTACCGGATCGCGTTCCTAGGTAACCTGGCCGCCTTCTTGTTTCGGGCCTAGTTATCCAACAGCTCATTTTGCAAAACCATCAATCTCAGAATCGATCGTTGCTTCCCAAAGTTCGTTTAAAAAACGTTACATTTTTTTTGTACAGCGCGATCTTACATTTAGGTAGAGTACGCGTCACTTAAAAAGAACGCTGGCGGTCAAGCTGCGCACTAGCCTATTTATCGATGTATTTGGTGGAATGAGGTGCGGCGCGGGGCGGGCGGGTCACCTGCCGCATGCTTGCCGGTGTGCTATTGGTTCGTCAGTCGACCTTTGCTTTCCGCGCTGGGTTCGCGTTACGTTCGTTCTCAAAATACTATCGCGCACATAAGTTTTAATTACAAAAAGGTTTTACATAGAAAAGTGAAAAAAAATATTTATGACGTATATTGTTTTATAAAGAAAGAGGCTGATAATAATGCAGTTGAAAATTTGAAATAATACATGAAACGGCCCGCAGTGGCAATGTTCCCGAGTCTAATTTAATTTTTAGGGTTCCGTACCTCAATAGGGAAAAAACGGAACCCTTTGATCACTTTGTTGTCCGTCCGTCCGTCCGTCTGTCTGTCTGTCTGTTCGTATTCAGATTAAACATTATACGCAGAAATTAAACATGTTTTTAATTCTATTTCATAAAATTCTATCTATTATATTATTTTTAATGTACCTACCATGTACGATCTTACCACCGTACAATTTTATTATAGTTAAGGAATGCCGACCAGTACCAGAACGTCATGCTTACTCGCGACGCGATCCACTTTTTGCCGCGTGACAACAAATAATATAATATGAATTTAATTACAGTCAAGAGAGTGCATCACTAACTATCGTACAATTCACATCAAGAGAAATTATCATCTTTATAACTTTACCTAAACTTTAACTTTCATAAACTACTTTAACTTCAAACTTATGATATCNCCAGTACCAGAACGTCATGCTTACTCGCGACGCGATCCACTTTTTGCCGCGTGACAACAAATAATATAATATGAATTTAATTACAGTCAAGAGAGTGCATCACTAACTATCGTACAATTCACATCAAGAGAAATTATCATCTTTATAACTTTACCTAAACTTTAACTTTCATAAACTACTTTAACTTCAAACTTATGATATCTTTCTGCGCTCTCCTGTAACATATAACTGCATACAGCTACAAGAGTACACAACTACTAAACTGTACATACCAATAACCAATATACGAAGCCGCGAGCGAAAGGTTACTTCAAAAATAAAACAAAAGTACTTAGTATTTTCGTGCGCGATTGTATCCATGCACAAACACACCCTCTCCACTTTCTTCCAGCGTTCTTTTTACGTGACGCGCGCTCTATTAACATCTATATCATTACGTCAATCTTATTCGAAAAAAATAAAAACATTTGTATTGGTGGTAGGACCTCTTGTGAGTCCGCAGGTAGGTAGGTACCACCACCCTGCCTATTTCTACCGTGAAGCAGTAATGCATTTCGGTTTGAAGGGTGGTGCAACCGCTGTAACTATTTTGAGACGTTGGAACTCATATCTCAAGGTGGGTAGCGGCATTTACGTTGTAGATGTCTATGGGCTCCGGTAACCATTTAACACCAGATGGGCCGTGAGCTCCTCCACAAACCTAAGCGAGCGAGCACAAATCGATCGCTTTGCTTAACTACAAAATTAAAAAAAAATATTGAGACTCCTCCATTACTCCAGCGTTGAAGGTGTTGTGCGCGTGCTTCACGAGCGAGCTGTGCTCGGAGTGGGGGAGGATAGCGCGCGCCATGCGGGAGCTCGGCCGCCGGAACGAGGCAGCGCATCACTTGTGGGACTTCCTCGAGCACGTGGTCACCTACCGCACGCCGCTCTACATACTGCTACAGCCCTTCATCGTGCACAAAGTAAGTTCCGATTACCGCAACTATCATAATTAAAGATACGAGTGGACGAAAGGGATATGATACAATTTGTTACTTTTGGGAAAACGGGCAATAAACTTTTGTTATTTATTTTTGAGATACTATGCGTTTGTGGCTGTTATCTATATATTAATACGTGAACCAAAAACTTCAGCCCTTTTTACGAAAATTGCGAAATTCATCTTTAATTATGTTTATATTTGAGCGCGTCGAGTAGCTTCTGTTATCCCGTTGACTGCCAGCAGGTCACCGATACCATACGTGGCACACTGAAGTAATTGTCGATTTCTAGTACTAATCGCCTGGATTGCCGAACATCGACTTCTTTTTTTTTTTAATATATGTTTTAGGTGTCTCAAAAATAGGTTCATTCTCAGTATTTTCAGATTCTTCTTTCCCAGAATTTGTACTTGATACACCGGTACTTTAGTAAAAACATCGTAAAGAGACATAATTACTTAAGCGCGCCACGTAGGGCACCGGTGATTTACACGGCAGTCAAGGAGATAGATAACAGAAGTCACTCGACGCGCTCAAATATAAACATAATTAAGGATGGATTTCAGTTTTTGAACGCATTAATTATTGAATATTGAATATCGAATATAGAATTGACTATATTTATCGAGTATAGAATTGAACATAGAATTGACATTGAATATAGAATTATTGAATACTAGCGACCCGCCCTCGCTTCGGTTCGGAAACTGTAATTTATTATTGATTTCTCCCGTATTTAATGGATGTTATTATACATATGAACCTTCCTCTTCAATCACTCTATCTATTAAAAAAACCGCATCAAAATCCGTTGCGTAGTTTTAAAGATTTAAGCATACACAGGGACAGAGAAAGCGACTTTGTTTTATATCATGTACTGATAAAATATTTAACGCACGTCGTGTGCGACTTGTCGGTACAGTTGTCCCAGCCGCCGATCGGCGACAACGAGCGTCACATGCAGTTCGTGGTCCGCGAGCGCGTCCGCGGCCTGAAGCTGCCCGCGGCCCGCGCGCGCGGCGCCCTACTCGCGGAACTCGCACGGGAACTCCGCAACATGAGAGAGACACACGACCAGTTTAAATTCGGTAACGGCACATGCCAAATTTCATTCCGTATACAGGTCGTAATTAAATTGTCCCCGAAAGCGAAAACAAATGATAGTAGGTGATTCCCCTACCTGCTTTCACGTTACATTGCTAGCTCGAGTTACATTGCGGACTCTTAAAGTTTTAATTCCCTAAAATAGCAGTGCTCCTTAAAGTGCTCAGTTTAGTAAACAGACAGATAGCATTTCCTGTTTATATCACGATAATAGTATATTGGCCTATCGGCATTGCAAGCAGTTTTTGTCACCCCGTATATAGAATTTCATTCTTGTCTGCTCAAAAAGCCTCAAGAACAAACAATAGCAGTAGATGATTGGTGAGCTAATACTTACTTTTAAAAAAAATTTGTACAGACAATTTTCTCCTTTATTCTATGCACAAAAAATTTAATAAAAGTCTAAGCGAATAGGCGTTTAAAGTAGACTTAAGTAAAAATCGGTTTGACAGATCCAGGAGTTGGCCTGGATAAACAAATAGACGCAAATTTAAACAATGCATGTTTTCGATTTAGTCCAGTGCAAACAACTGCAGAAGTCACAACATCTAAAAAAACCTATATAATATATAAACCTAAATAGACACTTCAATTTTATTTATATGTATAGATCAACATTAGAGGCATACCTTGTATTTCTGATGTTGAGATACCCTCTCATTCAAAAATACTCAGATAGTTCTAGCATAATCAATTATTTCGCCCAGAACAAATAGCTGAAAATCTTGGACAAGCGGGGGGTAAGCGCGCGTCTGAAGTGTTCCCGCGGCCTCCAAACATGTCGGACAAACATCAACAGCACCGGCCCTCGTTGATCTCCATGCTGGTGGGGCGGACCGGCGCGAGCATCCCGCGCACCCCCGACCATCCCTCGGCACCCCTATCTGCCCAAAGAGGTACCTCCCTGTGCCGTTATATCGAAAGAACCACCCTCAAAATGAAAATGATTTTCAACTTTATATCAAGATTGATGTACGGTAACTCGTTTAAATTCGCATAAACAGCGCCTAAGGTCAGGCGTACAATTGCTACATCAATTTTAGCCGTCTAGTTCTTTCCAATATTTTTTAAGATCGTGTGTGTGTCGTATTCGTTAAAGATACAAAGCTCTAAATAGTCTCGCATTGTTTGCTTAATCCAATAAATAAAAAAGTGAGTACATGTTTTCTTTTTGAAGTAAAACTTCTTTACGCACGCTAGACTTTCGGAGTAAGCTGGTGAATGTGTGACGAGTGCGTTACGAAAATTGTGATCGAGCGAGGCGAACGGAAGTTGAGTGGGAGATATGAGTTAGTGAAGATAAAAAGAGAGACAGTTACGTTTCGTATATCTACTAAACACACTGCAGGCCTATTGTCTGTAGCACACTGTAGGAGCAAGAGAGAGCAGTGCGCGTGAGAGCTTATTATCTGTTATCTATATATATAAAAATGAATTGCTGTTCGTTAGTCTCGCTAAAAGTCGAGAACGGCTGGACCGATTTGGGTAATTTTGGTCTTGAATTATTTGTGGGAGTCCAGAGAAGGTTTAAAAGGTAAATAAATATGAAAATGGTCGGAATTAAATAATAATTTTGTTTTTCCTTTAGTGTGTCCCCAGTCGGACGGATTCCTTTCGTTTATTTTATACAAAAGTTTAGGTCTTTTATTTATCGATTGAGGCACTACGAAATATGCCGGGTCAGCTAGTATTTATATAAATATATCTCTCTTTTATCACACAACTCACTAATTATGCCCAATATATTCCCGCAGACATTTGTTACCCAATGAAACTGCAATCGAATTCAAACGTATCACACAAGCACGATCGTAAATCATAAAATTTTCCAGCAGCTTTTGTATATTCAGAGTCACTGTCGAGCAGTTCAACGACCAGCCAACAGATGCCCACTTTCGACGTGCCTCTGATCAGTGGACGATTCAACGACAACGGTACGAACAACACGAGCAGCATCAACTCTAATATAGGTAAAGAATTTGAACGTCCATTATTTCAACGTCTATTATATACACATTAATATTAGGTATATATAGAGACATATTACCACTTTTAATAGATATAGACCATTACTGTGTAGTGTAAAGAAATGTTTTTTTTATAAGGAATTTTATGACCTGGTAACTAAGACTTTAAGTCATGTCTTATTTTAATTTATATTCTTAGTTTTATGAAAAATGATAATATGGAGTGAAATGAAATGAAAATGATTAATTTGGAACATTAATCAAGTGGGATGAAATTAAATGAAATGAGATGATATGGGATGAAATATAATCTCAGTAAAATGGTGGTCATTTACTAAATTTTTTCAGTGCACCTTTTGGAGGATCCCGAGAAGTTACGTCCAGCGGCTTTGTTTCATTTTCCCACATTTGTGCACTTCCACAGATATTAAACAGTTAATAAAACCATTTAAACCTGAAGAAACACTAAATAGACAAAATAAAACAAATCACACAACTTCACTCCTCGCGTTCCCGCCAAAAAGTCTTAAAGATATATTAATTTTATATCATGTTGCCAATGCCTAAATGTGGTTTACAACTTTATGTGGCATTGAATGCACTATAAATCTAACGTGGTGGTAGCCATCATGGAATTATGGAGGGCGCAAGTAAGGATTGTAATCTGATTGTGTTAAAAAGTGTCCGCTGAAATGGGGCCAATCAAGGTGGCGCCACAGTAGCAAGTGGAATGATTTTGAAAACAGCACCATAAACTATGTACCACATTTAACTTCAATCCAAAACACTATAAAACTGCTATATTTATATCATTTCCACTTCTCACACTAGCGCAATTTCGGTAGGTCTTCCAACAATAACTTGCTATAATAACCGGCAAACTTCTTGAGCATTTGTTGACGTAGTGGGGGTAAGTTTGCGCATGGTACACTCACGTGCAAAAACATTACTTACTCTGCGTCATAATGTTATTAAATTATTAAAATCAACATATGTATTTATTTATATATTTATTAGAACATCAACAAAACATATCGGTTAATAATTGTAATAATTTAATCTTGGGGTAAAATAGATATTCCTTCTATTAAGTCAAAACTAGAGCTGTTGCCAGGTCTTGGTTCAGTTGAAGCGAAGCTGGTATTTGTAATTTTTTTTTCGTTGTCAGAATCTTGACCATCATCATCATCACTGTTTTCATCACCCGAGTCGCTATCATCGTGATGAGTCGACATAGGGCTCATCGGCGTAGTTTACAACTCGGTCGATTCGGTCTTCTTTTTTGTCTATAATTAATTATTTTTTGAAGATATTCGATTCGTAGTAATCGAATGTTACTTTTTTCATTTACTAGCTTCCGATTATTTTCTGTTCTTTTCTTCCATCTGAAGTCTAGCTCTTTCATAATTCGTCGTAAGCTTCATTCCGAGCCATTAAAATTTATATCTTCTTTAAATTTTTCGAAGCCTTTCTACGGTACGGAGTTTCGCTGCTTGTTATGTAGTTATTATGATTACATCTTTTTATTACAGATTGAACGAAACTATCCATTCCGGTAACTTTCTTCTTCCCTGATCTTTTCTTACCCGGAGTCCGAAACACGGCGAGCAAGCCAGAGCCTTTAGCTTCGTTAATAATGCACCTAACAGTACTCACTGATGTTTTTGTTGCTTCCGAAGTCTGTTTTAATTTTTCCATATCATTCTTCCCCTGTTTTATAATGAAGCAATATACGTCGTACACAAATTTTCTACCCTTTCTTTTAAGTACTACACCAGTTTGTCACGGCATAGTGTATGTTTTATAAAAAATCAACAAACACTCAACAAATAGCAATGGCAACAAAGTCCACAAGCAATTATAACAAATAACTTAACGATTAATAACGATAGACTTTCCACTGTACGCAAGCGTACTTTTGGGAGCAAGCGGAATGAGGGCGCGGTGCGGGACGCAAGGCTCGACTGATCTACCAATAACGCGCTCGATACGATTTCCCCTGCCGTCGCGCCTCACCCTCACCACCAAAGTGATCTAAAATTCGGTTCTGCGCAGTCAAGGTCATTTGCTCAAGATGTTTGCCGATTACTATATTTACAAGTATATTTGACAGATACCTGAATCACGCTAACCACGTTTTCAAGATAATATTGTGTATACCTAAACAAGTTCCGAATAATTTGAAAACATTTTGATCATTATTCGTCGGTACACCGTGTAATTACATCGGTTTTCTCTTTGTCCATTAAACCTCAAGTCTTAATCACCTAGCATTGAATATTATTTTGCAATATACAAAGCTCGGAAAGAATTTAGTTGTTTATTAAAAAAAAAAATATTTTTCTCGAACATATCACACAAAATGTATTAAATCGTTTAGGTTCGCTGAACAATTACGGCAGCGATACAAAGCTCGCGGTGAGCACACCGTCGTACGCGAGCGCACCCGCCAAGTTACGGTTCGTTCCTTCCGTCGAGCTGAAGTTCACGTCGGGTGAGTCGTCGAATACGATAATTATTCCCAAAATTTATAATTTAACATGAAATAGTATTTTCTCCAGTTTTCCTTAGTCGTAAATGTTTGTAATCAAAATCAATTTTGACGGGTTTATCTCGCCTTGTTTCATTAGGTACATTATTTTCGACGACACGGAAATGATGTAATAACAACAAAAAAAATGTGAAAATATTTACTATGTTATTGTATTTATGGCATTGTAATTCAGTAAAACAGCAAGAACAATATTGGGACATTAAACCCCGTCTAAATAGAATCTAGGAGACAGATTTCATGTCTCGTATAAGATGGCAGCGTTCACATTAACAAAACTTTTTTACTACCTACCCTACAAATCGTCATAACCGTTTGAATCGCCCATCGACTAAGGTTGGCTTGACAACTTTGTGTTCGAATGAACAGAGCAAGGCGAAGGGTCCAGGCCGTTCTCGCCGCTGTCGCCCGGAGACACGTCGTGCGGGGAAGCGCGGGGAGGAGGAGGCACGGACAGCCCTGACGACCGGCCTCGGCTGCAACGGGCGCACGGACCTTCGAAAAAAACATTCAAGTTCCGCCGCAGCCGGCACACCAAGCCGGACGTGAGTATTAGAGCCTTCAGCGTGACGTCATCGGCTCGCATCGGTTCAGTGCGATACACATCACACTCCCAATGTATTTTGGTCCGTTCAGTAAGTACGGTTTTTGACTTTTATTATCAACCCCCTAGTTAATGGCCGGTATTTCTCAATTTTTTCCTCTACATATTATAAGTCATCTTAACGCCTTAAGGATTGTTTCTGATTTTTTTCGACATTTCTATTATTCGTTTCGCGGTGTGATCAAATTATATTTTTCACGAAAATTAATCTTCTAGTGTCGACCGTTTACTATTTATCACCAAAATAAATTTTCTAGTCTTTACTTTTGTCGAGCCCCTGCAACATAACCACAAAATGTCATCATGAATAGTTAGCATGTTAACAGTTGATGTTTTTTGTACCTAATCGCCGGTAGCCTCAAGGGGCTATTCTGACTTCACCCTGACTGGCAGACGAGCTCACGGAGCTCAAGCTGAGAGACTTTACTAACAGAAGCCCTAGCAAGATCAGTGCTTCGCCGAGTCTACTACTGGATCGGAATCGCGACCCACTGAGAAGTTCCGCGTATAAACTCGGTGGAAACTGTAAAATGGTATGATTTAACATGCAACAAAAAGTTGATGACTGCTATTAATGCCAGCAGGCTCGTCTGGAATCTGACGAAGGTTCATCTCCCGGCGAGGGGAGACGGCTGAGCGTTGCGCCGTTACTGCAAGCGCAACCATTTCCGGATACGTCGTGTGACAGTGAACCTTCGCAAACTTCCTCTACGTCCGGATACAGGCAAGTCGAAGGAATATGACATTAGGAATGTTAATTATTGAATGTTGCAGATATGCTCTCCTTTCTTTTATTAACATGGAATCGTGAATATTCTATTAACATTATACTAATTAGCTTGTGGGATCGTGGCACTAAATAAGACCAAAGAACTCTCTTTTCACCTATTTGAAGTCATCGTGGCCTAAAGGATAAGACGTCCGGTGCATTCGTATCTAGCGATACACCGGTGTTCGAATCCCGCTGGTATTCAATATTTCTAATGTAATACGCACTAAACGAATGTTCACGATTGACTTCCACGACAAAGAAATAACATCGTGTAATAAAAATAAAACCCGCAAAATTTTAATTGCGTAATTACTGATGGTAGGACGTCTTGTGAGTTCCCACGGGTAGGTACCACCATCCTGCGTATTTCTACCGTGAGCAGTAATGCGTTTTGGTTTGAAGGGCGGGTAACCCTTGTACTATTAAAAAAAGTGAGACCTTAGAACTCATGTCTCAAGGTGGGTGGCGGCATTTACGTTGTAGATGTCTATGGGATCCAGTAACCACTTAACACCAGGTGGGCAGTGAACTCGTCCATCTATATAAGCAATAAAAAAAATTAAAAAGATCTGTGGCGTCGTGGGACACCGGATAGGAACGAAGTTCCTTAGTATAAAAATATTAATTTTAGTTCTATTCGAGGTATAAAGAAAATAATTATCCGGGTATACATTTTACTGTGATTTTTTTATTGATAAAAAAAAAAAAATTGAAATTATGTTAATCATCCAACATAAAACATGCTTATAATGTAACATTATATTACGATATAACGATGCATCGCAACTACAAGGCAGCCGAACGAAGTGAATGATGACCATAATCGTGAAGGTATTCCAGGGAGAGCTACAGCCTGCAGGCCAGCATGGCGGAGTCCCCGGGCGGCACGTGCCGAGCGGCGCCCCGCAGCGCCAGCACCACGCCGCACGCCAGCCCCGACGGTAATCTCCCCTTTGTATGTACTCGCGATTATATACCACTACCTAACTACCTTTCTTTCTTCTTCCTCTATTCCTTCTCCATCGTATCTATATCTATATATTAATACGTGAAGCAAAAACTTTGTACCCCTTTTTACGAAAATTGCGCTGACGGAGGAGTTTAAAATTTCTCAACCTTATAGACAATATAGAGGAGTGCAGAATGTTTTTTTTTTTATTATGCTTAAAAAATACATTAAATCAATAAAAAAAAACATTACACACCCTACCATGTATTTAACGCACACACGCATGCATATTATTTATTTATTGTCAATTGAGAACCTTTTGTTATTGTTTAAAGCCTGTGGTCGAATTGAAAATAGATTAATATTGTTTGTCTTTTAATATTATTGATCTATAGTGCAGTTTTGGCGAATACTGTGATTATATTATCGAAATATAATAGTGTTTGACAACAGAACCATAATAATGTTTAAACTTATAATTTCAAATAATTAGGTATAGTCGAATCTCGAACTACTGCGGGGCCACTAGTCTATACTTATATACTAATATATAAATCTACAGTGGTTTTTACGGATGTTCCATTATAACTACTGAACCATGCGTCCGATTGACTTGAAACTTGGTATCCATGTAGAAAATACATGTACTCTTTTTTTTTTCCTACCTATGCTGATAGCCTTGAGAGGCTATTTCAGCTTCGCCCTGACGTTCGTATGTGAGCTCACGGGGCTCGAACCTGACGACGATGCGTCGAACGAACGAACCCTAGCAAGAGCCGTGCTTCGCAGAATCTACCACCGGATCGGAAACGCGACCCACTGAGAAGATCTGGCGAGAAACTCAGTGGGCTGTGTCTGAGAGTTAATTTACTCGTCGAGCCCTTCGTCGCAAGCGACGGGTTCGACGAGAACGGTGATCGGTGCTTGAAGTACCTAAAAGCACCGTTAGTGGATCGGGAGGATCCGAGATGACGTGTTTTGGGCGACGTCGACTGCTTTCCATTCTGTCCGCAGGATCGGGAATGTAGTTNTCGAGCCCTTCGTCGCAAGCGACGGGTTCGACGAGAACGGTGATCGGTGCTTGAAGTACCTAAAAGCACCGTTAGTGGATCGGGAGGATCCGAGATGACGTGTTTTGGGCGACGTCGACTGCTTTCCATTCTGTCCGCAGGATCGGGAATGTAGTTACCGGCGGCCACGATGAGAGGGTTCTCGTGTCGTGCCGCTTTATCGAAGTGGACATGTACTCAATGGATAGGCTAATATTTATATGAGAGTGTTAAACTCCCTACACCAGTTGCGGGGGCGTTAATGATGAGAATCTTTGTGGGTGTGAGAAATAATAATGTTAATTTTTAAATGCCCAGCGAAGCGGACGCGTGTCGGCTAGTCGCATAAATAACGACATAACCGGGAACGCTTACGCCTGGTCCATCATATTTAGCTCAGAGTTCGAAAATATATATTAATGTATTTTCTTATTACCAACAAAACAACGCACATTTCGGATCACTCGTGGAAAAAAGAAAGATTTATTTATTTATTTAATTTACATAAAAAACGTTTAGAATGAACTTTCACAATTATTAGCATATTAGCGATCTTCATTCAACACTAATATCAGGGTAATCCTCCTATAACATTGTTTTTTACAACACGGTCCGACTTTAACACGAAGAAAAATATCCCCAAAACCCTCTTTAAATACTTTTTTTTTATCGGTTAGATGGGTGGACGAGCTCACAGCCTACCTGGTGTTAAGTGGTTAATGGAGCCCATAGACATCTATAACGTAAATGCGCCACCCACCTTGAGATATAAGTTCTAAGCTCTCAGTATAGTTCGGCTGCCCATCCTTCGAACTGAAACGCATTACTGCTTCACGGCAGACATAGGCAGGGTGATGGTACCTCCCCCCGGTGAAGGTCAAGGGGCGACCTGAGGGGGAGAGGCCGCGCGGCGCGCTACCAGCATTCTAGCGTGCTGCCAAGGAGTTACGAAAGAGCGACCGGTTGGCAGTGTATCGCGTCCCGACCCGGCAGGCTGGTTCTGGTCCAGCGGGGTATTCCGGGGCACCAGCGACACTGTCTGGGCGGCCTGACGGGCTGCCGTACCAAGACGGCCGACGTTTCAGAGCCTTCGATTCGCCTCGAAGGCTCCGTCGGCTGGGCGTCCTTGGGGTGAGCCGCGCCGTCTGGTTGTAGTGTTGACCGCGGTAGCCCCCCTACCTCATCCGGGTTCTGACCTCGGAGAGGATCGGACGTCGGGTGTAAGAGTGCAGGGGAGTCGTTTAGTGGATGGGTCCTAAAATCCTTGGGCCCGCGATCTGCTCTCAACCCCTGCAGATCGTTGAGTCTCACATACCCCGCGCGCCCCGTATGCGCGGGGACCTCGTAGGAGGTTCGGCCCCCGGCCCGAAAAAAAAAGGTGGAAATCGCTGGTCTTCCGCCTTTCACTCGGGATGGAGGGCGGCGCATGTCGGAATCGAAACGACTAAAACCTCCTGTCGCTCAACAACCAGCATCCAAACCTCGCATGAGACAGAGCTCATGAAAAGGCAAAGGGAGGAAAGTGAAGTGTTTAGTGCGGAGCACATCTCTCCCATCACCCTCCCCTCGGGATGCCAGACTGGCGGTCGTCGGCGCCACAACCACCAGCCCTCTCGGTCGGCAGGCTGTCCGAAACCCGCCTAGATGGCGCCGGTTAGAATGGTCTATCCTACGGAATACCCCGCTGGGTCAGAACCAGGGTGGGTTGAGGATAGCCGGCCTTCCATCACCCGGATGCTCATACGTAAAACGTATGCAGAGCAGCTTGCACGTCGTCTTCTTAGGCCTCTTTCGCCGGTCCCCAGGCCGACATGTGAGGGAGACCCGAAACACTTAGGAGGGCCAGGGCTTGGGCGAGATCCGCCTCTCTGGACTCCACTCGACGGGGGCGGGCCTGTGCATCTCTCACACGCCCCGCCGCCTCGTTTTGCGAGATGGTGCGCTCACAGAAGTCGAGCATCGCCTTCCACGACTCGTCGTCACCGAGCATCGATGCCAGAACACTCAACGACAAGTCGTTTCCTATTTTTGCGACGAGGACACGCCGCCACCCCTCCCATGCGGGGCAGGCGACGATCGTATGCTCTGCCGTGTCCAAGTCGCAACCACAATGGTGGCACTCTGCCGTCGGCTCGGCTCCGATCCGGTGTAGGAACTCACCGAAGCAACCATGCCCAGTGAGTAACTGCGTGAGNATAGGTAATGAAAATAAAAAAAAACTGATTGTAGTTACATACTACTAGTAACATATTATTATATTGGATCACTTTAATACAATTTTATTGTAAAATATAAATAATATTCTTTTATAGTTTGAAATTAATGATTAACTCTTCACACTCATTGTTCATTTATGTGATTGAACGAGAACTGAACGCATCACTATTACTTTAAATATAGCAACATTATTTCACAAAGTGACATTAGCTACTGTCAGCTGGCTTCGTCTAATTAAAAATCCGACTATACACAATTACGTGTATAACACTTGCGTAAATAACAGTTACTTTTGAAACAATAATAAGGCATGACTACGTTTTTTTATAATATATAATATACAAATTTCATTACCTACGAGTAATACAAATAGTACATTTGTAATTTAATTTACAAATATTATTTAAAATTCCAATTTAAAGCAGTATTTTAACAACCAAGTAGATTAGACATTGCATTATCTATACCTGCTAAATTAGGTATTGGCACTGTCATATCATAGTGACGACAATATGGGATAACCGCGAAATTTGAGAATAATTTTTTATAATCTAATTTTCGCGTTTTTTAGGTGACTAAGTATCACGTATGCAATAAATAAAGGAAGTAAAAATATTAACATTTTTAATTTCAATAAATCGAGTAAATGATGTGATGACTTTGCATTTTTTTTTGTATAATAAGTTTTAGTTACTATATTAATTATGTTTATTTATTAGTCGATTGTTTTCCAGCATCTCTAAGTTATGAATCTGGAACATCATCCGCTGAACGTACCGCGCTACTCGGAGCTGCCAGCCAGCGTTCCCTTTTGCTAAGTGGCGACTTAAGAGATGAAGATACTTTACTTTAAATTAATAAAAAAACAGCTCATCATAGTCATGGTAGATAAACTATAAAGCAAAACAATAGACATTTGCAATTTAACTATAAACAATATAAAATAGTATAAAGTAAAAAAAAGTGTGATGCTGCTAGTAAGCGCCATTGAGCAAGTAATCACTTCATTATAAGCGCCTGATTTACCTTAGAGCGAGCAGAAGTATAGTCATATTTTACTGGCAAACACTCGTTCAGACAGCTCACATTTAGACGCCCTGGCTTTTAAACCGAACTACTAAAGCCGAAGTTCCACTAAAGCAGTTAAACCTAATCATAGGACTTTAAACGATAAGTGTATCCTACTTATCTGTTGATACAGAATTGCCAACTGATCACTTCAAACCATTACAGCAACATCTGTCATTTGCCAGTGGAATTATGACAAATTTTCTGCTGTATTTGTACCTTAACTTCATTTGAACCATTTCATTTTAGTGCTATTATGACTTAATTATATATTGAAAAAAAAACTGCACAAGCAGACTGTGAGCTTGTCGGCACACCTATGCTACCAGTAAAGTGACCTAATGGTCTGGCTATCTACATTAAAAATAAAATGTATCATGTAATCAATTTAATAGTTTTATTTGATGTCATGACAATATAACATTAGTTTTGAAAGAATTGTTTTATTTTAATGAATTATAATACACTGTAGTTGAATTGTTAAATTAATAAAGAGATAAGTATAAAAACTCTGTACAATATCAAGCTTCTTTACATATTAAAAAAGGTTGTATTGCTATTTGCACATCAGGATCTAATGGAATTTCATGTATATACTTCGAAAAAGTTATCACTATCTTATAAATGCTTAATTTTACTGAAGATAACAAAGCTGATTTCATTTTTAAAGCAAAAGAATCATTCAAGATGTGTTTCCTTGGGACAAGACCAGGTTTTGTTAATTTATCTAAGTTTTGTTTTAAATTTATTAAAGTTGATATTACAATTGGCAAATCAGTTTGCACAACACCATATTTGTCTTCTTTCAGTGATGCAGCTGCAATAAAAGCAAGTCCCTCACAAGTCCACATCACTGGCTGTGCTTGCATCAATAAGAACTTTAATCTTGTATCAGTCAGCTCCCCAAATAAATAACTAATGCCTGGTTTTTGGCGAATTCTTTGTACTAGAATATTAAACTCCTCTTTTATAGCACTGATGAGAGTATGTTCACTTTTATTTTTATTGTGTTCTTTCAATTCATGTAATTGTGGAGAATATGCCATATTTCTCAAGTTTCCCGTATACAATGTAGACTTTGGTGTGATGCTTGATCCTGGTCTTTTTGGCAACATTTCTATTTCAACTGGTTTCATATCACCATTTATGCTATCCAATTCTTTGCTAAAATCATTTACAATCTTCAAACATTCTTGTAGCAGGTTATTCCAATTTCGAGGGTGTCCTCCTGGTTGTGATAGTGTGAAAATCTCTTTCCTTCTCACAGTGTCAGTCAGAGACATAATTTTCAGATCTTGTGTCCCTAAATACCCATTAAATTGTGATTTCTGAGCAATTGCCTTGTGCAAAGTTAATTTTTTACTAGACTCTATTGGAAACTTCATTGGCTCCGTTAATACTATATTGAAAACAGTTCTCATGGCATACACAGATATCAAAAATAAGCTGGTGTAAAACCAAAGTCCAATCCATATACCAGATCCAAACAAGTTTAATATATTATCAAGAGGTTTATCTTCCAAGTACAAACCATAAACATCGCTGACTACATTTCTTGGTTTATGGCCCCAAAAGTAATAAAAAATGCAATAATAAACCACAGGAATAATAGAGCTTTTAAAACCACATGACAAAATACTGTGGATGGCTAATTTAATCTGTTGAAACTTGTCTTGATAAATATGTGGAAATGTCAGGGTTGTGGGGCTGAATATATGAGCGTTAAGAAAATAATACAAGCCCATCCACATGCCACCCATTTGTAGGAATAAGCTTTGTTCTAAGAGACATTGTCCATCATAATTCTCACATATTTTCTTTAATGTATTAAAATTACTTTTTGCCAATGAAGAATAGAGACTCATAGTGAAATAGCCACTCAGGGCGTACAGAATGCTAAATATAATATTTTGAGCGCAAAATAAACTCAGGAACATAGAAAACCTGGTAAAATACTTTGGTAGTGGCTTTACGTAATAGCAGCCGTAAATATAAGCCTGAAAAAAAGACACGAGTCCAAGCAATACGATATTTATGCTCATTTTCCAGCCAAATACATCATTTATAGATGACGATATCCAGGATACGGGATGAAGAATATCAATTTGTATGAAACCCACCAACATAACAGCAATAACAGCTTGCAGTCCTATATTCCACAAAACAGATATAATAAGTCTTTTTGAAAAAATATCACACGTTACATCCATTCTGTAGGTTATTGAATTTCATTACAAAGTTCAAATCTATGGAATAGGCCGATAAGTACAAAGTTATCACGAAATGTTACTGTAATTTTTATATTAATTTATAAATCCTCAAACTACCGCTACTAATATTATTATCTCAACAAAGTATACATACATATTTTGAAAATTAACTGATTTAAGTAGCATGTCATTTTGAATCATTTTATACTTGTTAGGACAAAATAGAAAGGCAAAAGGATTATAGTACATAAAACGCAATCTTTGAAGTAAAAGACCAAACTAATGCTCTTTGTACGAAAACTAAAAGAAACTGAAATAAGGAATGAGACAAACATTGACACAATTAGATGCGATGAAATGCAATAATCTCTTCACAAAGTAGTGAGAAGAGAAAACTAAAAAGGTTTACAATTTCAACGTTTAACGTTTATTTCAACATTTTTCTTGAACCATAACATGCTACACCACTTTTTGTAAGTCTTGTGTAAAGTCAGAGTCCAGCTTAATCGAGTGCAGACTTCATGAATTTCATTAAATTTCAGGAAAATGAACTTCGTGCTTTTGAGGCTGACGGTAATGAATTTTAATGTAGTCTAGGGGGGAAATCAATAAATAAAAATAAGTCCAATTAATTCTGTGAATCATAACAAATTTTTTTCATAAAAGATTATCTTGTAGTAACTTTTTCAATTTAAAAAACTTTTCAGGTAGGTAGGTAGGTACATCAACTCCTAGTCGATCCACGCTGGCAGCACTGAAGTGAATTTATTGGTATTGTTTGGCCTAAAGGTCTAGATTACAGGCCATAAACTCAAAAAAAAATTATATTGGTGTTGTTGAGACGAAAGACGTGTTTGAAGTCTTGAATTGAAAATCAATTAAGTTATTAGTATGTCCAAGGAAGTGCAGACGATTCTAAAAAGTGAATCAATATGTTCTTTATGTAAACAAACAACTTAAAAGTGTATGTGTTGTGGACGTCTGCAGTGCCCTACATTTTAGACTACTCAAATGGAAGAAAGTTGTATGCCAAGAGCGTTTCATTTCAAGGGAGTGACCTAATATTTAGCACATTTAAGATGCTACCTCCGTGATGGAGTAGTATTTCTGACTTAAAAAAAAATAAGAACTCTTGTTATGTATACTATAGTAGAAATTTTTTTAAGTGTAGGGGTGCTAGTCACTCTTATAACAGCACTATCAGCCTGTGTCTGTGGATGCAAGAATTCTAATCAAAAGTAAGTGAAAATAAACGATAGAAATTTAACGTAATTTTTTTAACATACCACTCAATGTCATTTAAAAGATAATGTTACTGAAATTCGTTTTTGTATAATTACTGTTAATATAAAAAAATACAATGTAAAAGGATTTACTCAAGATATAAATAAAATGATAATTTTATGAGTAGAGTGATAATTTTTTTACATTTAACAGAAATGAATTGCTTGGGACAGCTGGTGTTGTCAAAATACATTTTGATGAGGAGGCTCCGTCTCCAACACCTACCACTCCCGCCTCAATTAAACGGTTTGTCTTCAAAATTGGCATGCCCTAAACTAGAACTAAAACATGGGAATTGCTACTAAATGTTTTATAGTAACATTTTTATTTCATTTTAAAGTTTCATAATAGCATGCTAAATGTTAGAAAAAATATTTATTTTGTTTTTAACATTTCTATATGTAGTTTTTAGGGCAATTAATTGATATCCCATTTCGGGATTGTTTAGTGGTTTTCATTATCCACATATTATAATTTTGCTTGGAGACCTATAGTAGATGAATTACACACCTTATGGAAGGCTGGGCTAGTCAGCTAGGATGGACTTTCGACTGGGTGCAATAATTTTTCTGCCATGTAGTTAAATCTTTAATAATGGTCCTTAAGGTAAATGATTTGAATTCCTGACATTTCTCTAATCAACCAAACAGTTATGTTTCGTTAATTATAGATTTGATGGTGACTTGAATTTTTAGTAAGTAATGTGATAAAATTAATGAAGAATATTTTCATATTCATATTATTTCCTGACCCGTTTCCTAATTGGTTAAGTTGGTGCAACATGTATCCACATTGTAGTTTGATTTGTCTTATAGGTTAATTACCAACCACCCTAAAACAATATATATAGACACGTTGATTACTGCAAGTTCTTCTACTATGATTTCAATCAAACGCCACTACTATTTTAAATTCCACTAAATATTCTTCTTTTTATTTAGAATGTTCGAAACATTCTTCTAAATATAAAACTTTTAAAAATAATATTATTGATAATAATTGTAAAAATATCGTGGATGTTTTAAAATTAATTTTTTTTTTAAATTATTTTATTGTTGGACGAGCTCACGGCCCGCTTGGCATTAAGTGGTTACTGGAGCATGTAGACATCTACAATGTAAATTCCGCATACTAGCTGTCCTGCCCTTCAAACTGAATCACATTAATGCTTCATGGCAGAAATATGTAGAGTGTTGGTACCTACTGGATTACTCACAAAACGTCCTACCACCAGTAATATTATAATGCCTTTATTGAATAAATAAATATCAAGACAATCTAATCTACATTCAATACAGTGTTATGTATGCAAGAAACAATTTATGAGAAAAGGACACTGGTCCAAACCACACCAAAATTGTATCTCAATTTTTGGTTTTCTTAAGTTCTCATCACTCATCTTTTATAATGGAAATTATCCAATCTAAGGACAAAAAGAAGTGAGATGAAAGTTACAAATATCTTTAAAATGATAAAATGCTAGGTTTGGGCCATTGAATGTAGAATGTTCATTAAATTTAATTGATTATACTTCCAACTATGGGAGCTTGATTGGTCAGTTGATGACACACTACATTTAACCAGAATGTCAGTGACTAAATTGTTTGTTAAACTAATTAGACCTTTGAATATGGTATATACTGCATTGTACTGCTATTATTCTTGGGATTTTCAGTGTTTTTATAATTATAGTTTGTTTGCCTATCAATCAGATTATATGAATATATTCTCAACACAAATACATAATTATATAACGGCCGTCTGGTGTAGTGGTAAGTGACATGGTCACTAGACAAGGGGGTCGCGGGTTCGAATCCCGCCAAGGGAAGATATTTGTATGATAAATATAAAATTTCTTTTCCAGGGCTATGGATGTATATTAAATATATGTATGTGTATAATAAAAATCTTACATTTATTTCCGTTATCTGGTACCTATAACACAAGTTCTTTACGAACTTATCACAGGACCAGTTAACGTGGCGTGATTGTTAGTAAATATTTATTTATTTATATACACAAAGGTGCATTTATTGCAAATCAGAGTAAAAAACTTAATGTTTTCACTGTACCTACAAGACTTTAGAACCAATATTTTTTTTTTTTGGTACTCCACCAGACTTCGATTCCCGAGCTCGCTAGTTGTAAAGTCCTCATAGATATAAAAAGGTTATTGTATTTCTGCTATCCAACTCCATCTAACAATGGTTAAAAAGAATAGGACAGCGTTGTATTTAAAAAAAAAATTGATGATTCAACGATGCTCGGCTGCAATCGCAATAAGTTGAGTCACGAGACGATCACGAATCACGATTGCAAAATCTCGAACATTGGGTCCCGGGATCGATGGGCAGGTGGCAGGGCCCTAAAAACATCCTAGGGCTCGCGGTCTCGCCGCCGCCGAGCAGGGGGTCGGGACCGGGGTCGTATCCGTGACCTGGCCCCCTAAGGTCCCACCCGTTTTGTGCGGGGAGAAACCCAAACGTGGAGTGGCGTGCTTTGCACGCTCACCCGCAGTAGGAAGCCGGGTGATGGTAGACCGCGTTGCCCCGACCGCTCTGGGGGAAGGTGTAACGCGGCGCCATCAAGGCGGGCTCTCGGCCCGCTGAACGAGGGAAGCGGTAATCGTGTTGCTGGCGGCCGCCGGTCCGGCGTCCGTGGGACGGTGGGATGGACGTAATGTGCTCTGCGTCAACCCTGTCCCGCCGTCTCAATAGCCCCGACTGGGCTCCGGCCCGGGCCGAGGTAGGGCGCCGCTTGTGAGCGGCAGGAGTTTTTAGTTAGAGGTTCAACTCCCACATACCCCACCTGCCGCGCGGGTGGGGATCCGGCAATTTTCTCCTGTGAAAAAAAAAAAAGGGCTCGCGGTCTGCTCCCAACATCTGGAGACTGTCGAGTCCCACATACCTCGCGTACCGCCTAGGCGCGGACACCTCGAAAGAGGTTCTCGATACGAACTCCTAAGAACGAGCGACTGAATGTACTCACGAGTCAGTTCACTAGCAACAATTGAATGTCTCGATTAAGTTACAGAGCGAACCGATTGTATTTTTGTACCAACTACGATTATTTCGCATCGAACTCGCCTATCACTCACTACATTTAACTCTGCCGTGAATAGATCCCGGGGGAAGTATTAGTAATGTCTAAGAAATTTCTTGGATACATAAGAGGAGTCCAGATTAAAAGTCCTTTTTAGAATACTATTTGTGAGTAACTATATTGGAAAAATAAGTTGTAACATTTTTTCTATCACAAATTAAGAAAACCTTTAAATTTGTTTAGTTTAATAAAATGATAAAATACATATGTGTGTATTTATGCAGTATAGTGTATAATTTCACATTGATGTGCCTTTGGAAAACATACAGCATTGTATTATGAAGAAGCAGTGTGTACTTAGCTTAGATTCCTTGTCTATGTCCAACCATAGACCGTCAATTTAGTTCCATCTTTAGCCGCTAGGTGCTGCCAGCAAGTATAAAGGGAGCGCAGCCATCTTTGATCTTCATAGCGTTGTGTACTTTCGTACTGTGAAGTCGCAAGTCNGAAGATCAAAGATGGCTGCGCTCCCTTTATACTTGCTGGCAGCACCTAGCGGCTAAAGATGGAACTAAATTGACGGTCTATGGTTGGACATAGACAAGGAATCTAAGCTAAGTACACACTGCTTCTTCATAATACAATGCTGTATGTTTTCCTTCTCGGCACATAATATCGGTTTTATTGTTATGTAAAACCGTAATATTTATTAAACCTGAAAGGTTGAAAAGAAATGAAAGTGCTCACTTTCATTATTACCCAAATCCAGTAGTTGATATCAATCTCTAGCTTTAGTTCAATTTTGGTTTTAATTGAGGATTCTTGTGAATGACCATCGTCTCTGGTCTGTCTTCTTTGATTGATCAACCAGTTTTTATATAAAAATAATTTAAATTTTTATCATTTTTTATTCCCATAACAATAAAAATACATCACGTTAAATTAGCAAATGTGGTAAACTTTTATGTATTAAGGAAAATTCATAAAACTTTACCTTAATGACATTAGCTGCATACATACTAATTTTACCGCTCGAGTGCTTGCATATAATGTTATGTATTAATATATGTTAATAAATAGGTAGTAAATAATATGTTATTAGACAAATAACTGAATAGAATCTCGTTATAGCTTTACGTATTTCAATTTCTAAACCAAATTTAAGTTCGGAATCTAATCACGCTTTGTTAGTGGCGCCTACTAATGCATGCAATAATTATCTTACACTACGAAAGGATTAAGATTAATTTTACGTAATCAGTGCGGGAATAACGCCGCCGAATTTAAAGTTATTCTTAAAGAAACAATCAATTCAGCTTTAGAAGATAACTCTTGATTACACGGCTATAAACAGTGATACATAATTATAAAATGTCGTAAGTAATTAGTACAAATGATAAACTTTAAGCAGAAAATCGCAGTTATCGATTCCATTTCCGCTATTAAAATTCCTCGTATGAGGTACTTATTAGGAATTTTGTATTCATGTTTCAAATGCAAAAATGAACATCCTTCATTTCGCCGTATATCATTTCTAGACATTCTACGCGGAGACTATTCGCAATAACAGCTGTAATGGAAATATTTCATCAGTATAATAATTTTACGGTAAAACTTTGCGTGACCCATGCGAACTGTAACTGACAAGGTTATGACGTGACATGCTACAAAAACTAACTGACGCTAGAATGCTTTAGGAAAACCAATAATTCTTGAAATGCATACTTGTAGATTCTTTCTTGCAAATAATTCTCGTAGCAGGGTCGCAATTGAAAATGTAATTAATTCTAATACTACACGGGCGGTTCTCCCGCCGCGGGAATCCGCTCAACAAAGCTGCCGCAGCCCATCAAACTACACGGATTGTGGTTTTTAGCTGTCTTTTGTTCATTCCAACATGGATCCGCCAATGATAACTGCCCTTGCAGCTCTATGATTAATAGAATTATTAAAAAATAAAGTAAAGCGCAATGTTTGGGTGGGAATATTTCATTCCTTGTTTAGTGCACACCGCGATAACCCTCATAAGTTCTTCTCGTACTACAGAATGTCTGTGAACTCATTTGACGAACTTCTATCAAAGTCCCGTGCAGAATGACGAAAATAGTAGGAAACCGCCCGTGTAGTTTGAAGGGGCGGTTGTCAGCGGAGGTTTGACGCTGCATGCGGCAGTCGTATTTCGCCCACCTGTGAACCGCGGTGGGAAATGGCGCAGTGTAGTATGCAGCATACAACTTCTATATTAAACTGTGTCTAGTGCGGTTCAGAAGCGGATTCCCGCGGCGGGAGAACCGCCCGTGTAGCATTAGCCTTATATTTTTATCGTACTTTTCAAAGTATTGGGCCGCACATAGCACACTGTTAACTTCATGTCAATATTTTATTTGAAGGGCATCGACGCAGAATAGTCAGCGGAGCCTACCAGAAATACCCCAGCCGGTCGGCAGGCACGACAGCGGAGACACGGCATCTGAAATCTATGCTACGGTGAATTTGGTGGCTGGTGAATAATTTCTTGTTTGAAATTTTAGGCTTGCTCTTTAAATTTTCTTAAAAAAACATAGTATTGTTATTTTAACAGTTAGTAATGTTATTGAGAATTTTAGTGAGATTTTAATATGGGTACTAAAAGTTCGTTTATCCTTGTTCGACAGGAATAATTAAAAACTAATATATATTCTATATACAAATTGACTAAATATCAGTTATAGAAATTAGAGAGTTATAAGCATTCATATTGGCCGTTTAAAATAAATAGAAACGCTGCTTGTCCTATTGTTGTAAAGGATCTCAAAAAGTTATATTAAATTATATTAAGAAGTTTTCAAACATTTGGCACTTTCTATAGGCTTTGTTTTTAGGCAGTTTCCCGGCAACCCGAACACAGCTATTCTGCTTACAGAGAACCACTTTTCATTATACTCCAACGGCATTTCCTTTGCACGAGGCAATCGGCTTTTTTTTAAACTAATTGGTGCAATAGCGCACTATTATGAGTAAACTAACGTCAAACCTTGACGCCAATTCCCTGCCTAGTAAATGTTCAGTACAAAGACGATTAAATCATTTATATTGATATTGCGAACTCTGTGCTTGTCAAATGTGTGAGAATTATGAATTAAAAAAATAGTATATTACACCTTTTGGGAAGGAAAATAAGAAAAGCCTCAGACCACATGTAATTGTTGGCGGAGGCGAAGCCAAGGTCGACAAACATGTGATCTGAGGCTTACTTTTTTACTTGCCAAGGGCTGTATACAATTTTTTTGTCCGACAAAGGCGGAAAGCGCCAACTTTGTTTAGCGCAGCGGGACGAAAGATGCCACTTTCCGCCCGGAGGGGAAAAAAAAACAATTATGCAATATAATAAATATTTTAATTGTTCTATATTTTATCTTAATTGAAAGTGTGGTATCTTCACCTAAATCCTTAATAATAGTTTTTTTTTCAATTCCAATTATTTATTATTCCAATTTCTTTAAGTTCAAATGTGCCTTAAACCAAACCAACTAATAAGTTTATTGTGCAGTACCTTCGAGTAAATTGACGTAACACCTTAAAGGCCAAGGCAGTCATGACTCTGTTACTCCTTCGGACTTGATAAATGATTTTGTTCACGCATACAACCGTGTTCGCCTCAAAACGAGTTCAAAATTTACATCAACAACATTGTTAATCATTTGTTATGTCAATTTTACACTAGCGCCTTTATTCATCATATATACATTATTCATGAGCCAGAAGAGAAATACTAAAACGCTCGTATCGAATTGTAGGTGAAATATTTTGTCCTCATAAAAATTTGCATTTTACCGAATATTACAATTGCAATGTACAATTATGTACGGTTCGAGTACATGTGATAACTATCAAGATTTGAACGATTTTCATATCTGCTATATTTATTTTTTTGCTACCGTGTCACCCTTGAAATATGTTGATCAGATAAGAAGCATTCATGAATAAGATTTATTTCGATAGCATAATTACTCCAATCATGTAATAATATAAAAATTGCCGGTACACAAAATTTAGTTGAATCGATCAATCGGCAGTTTCAATTACTTTTATTTTTCATAATCAGTCCTTTGTTATCAACAGCTAATAAGACAGTAGCGACGGCGTCGACAAGTCGGGATAATCCCTACGAACACGCATATGCCAAATTACAGAATGAAGCACAAAACGTGTAAGTATATTGAATTGAATTTTGAAGATATTACAGGTTGCAGGCATGCGTTCCTCCGCACGGATCGAATAGTGATGATGTACTCTTGCGTTCCGACATGATAGGATAGTTTTTATTCCAATGGTATTGAGAGTTAAATTAAAATGTCACGTATTAGGCATTTAATAAACATTAAACATTCCGGAAAAACAAGGATGTGGATATTAGAGCACATCAATGACACGCGGGCCTCTGGTTCGTGTCAGTCGCGCAGGTGGAACTTGTGCGGGGTTCAAGAACAAACCAGTAGTAAACATCCAGCAGTTTATTGATGGTAATCAAGCGGACAGACAGTACAATAATATTAAATAGGAACATAAAGTACAGCGTGCAGACCGTGCAACGGCACCGAGACGAAAGGGAAGAGCGAACCATAGACACCTGCATTTATACACAATGCAGGGCATTCAATATCAAGCCAAGATTTAATGCATACCTATTCACTAACATTCTTAATAGTGGAGAGGCTTTTTGGTGAGCCAAATATTCTGGGGGAGATGAAGGCACGGAGGCTCGAATGGCTTGGGCATGTAGTGCGTATGGAGCAGAATCGGGCTATCAAACGCGTGTACGCGAGTGTACCGAAGGGACGCCGCTCCGTAGGGAGACCTAAGTACCGCTGTAAGGAAATTTACGTGAGCTCCAAGTGTCGGACTGGCAAGGTGTTGCGCAACGCCGGCATGAATGACAACGTTTATCGTCGGAGGTCAAGACCCACTTCGGGGTCATAGCGCCAACGTAGTAGTAGTATTAGGCATTCACGTTGTGATGTCCATGATATTCATAAACTATTTAACACCGTGTAGTTCAGTAAATAATATGTTACAACAAAATAACATTGGTTATAGTTTCATTGCAGTTTGTTCAAATCTGTCATTACTAAAAATCATTAAACGTCTTATACCGTCTCTGCGAGCAAAAAGGCTGCAATGGGAATCAAACCAACTCCTTTCAACACGCATTGCAAAATGCAATGTGTCCATTACAAAGAAGACTGATAAAATGATTATTTTTCGTACCAGTCCGTTAATTCCCTACATATACGATTAATTGATCTTCCATTGTCAGAAGAAGCATATATTACTCTCTCGTTAATATCTTACGTTCGCTTTGCAAGTAAAGTAGGCCGCTTGTACCGTCCAAAGTTCTCCGAAAATGCAGACGTTCTAATAAATTGAGTTATAATAATATCGATAATTTTTTTTCCAGAACTGTTGAAATAACCCCAGAACAGAGGTCTAATGATGAATTGCCAATAGACGAAAGAGATGCGGCACAAACTACAGCTGGTGCGTTGACTATACAGTTTTATTATATTCATTAAAGCTTTCTATCACTTAAGAAGAATCGCGTGTAGGCGAAATCGCGGCTCATCTAGTAGACGGTAAACGAAGCTCATATCGACTGCAAAGCAAACACATCTGCTCACGTCGAAATAAATATCGGATAAAACATGTATTGCACTGTCCCAACGGCTGCCCTAGACCTGAACGGATGATTACTTAGTCGCAAAAACAGGCAAGATGGAGGTACCTACCAGTGTGGTTTCTCAACGTACCTTTAAAATGTCTCTCATTTCTCTCATAACGAACGAATCATATGCATACTAATGTTATAAATGCGAAAGTGAGTTTGTTTGTTTGTTACGCTTTCACGTTCTAACTACGTAACCGACTATAGTAGAGTTTTACATACACATTGTCAGGGGCACAGAAAAAATATTTGGGGCGGGGTTGGAAGTGTTACTTCTCATCCGAAGGAAAGGACTATTCTATCTATAACGTAAAAATACATATTTTATGAAACTTTTTTTACACGTATGGAAAACAAATGATAAATATGTGGTTTGTTATTTGTACTCTCGGGATATTATGCTCCGAACACATAAAAGTCAAACACACCAATTTAACAATAATATAATGTTATAATATTATGTGTACAATGTTCTAATAAAAAGTAAATAGAGTAAACAAGTCGCTGGGCACTAGAAGACACCAATTAAAACTAAAATTATAATACGTTTTACAATCCACTTAAATCGACGCGCGCGAATCTCGCCATGTGACGTCACGGGACACCTGCGCGTTCGGGAACTCCGATCGCGACCGATGACGCCCGAGTGCACCCGAATGTTGCACGCTACATCAGCCCCCCCGGAGACTGTTACGGTCGATAAAAATCGGTAAAGCGTACTTGACGTCCAGATTTCGTTCTTTGCACTGAACGTGAAATGCTTGGAGGTGAATCAGCAAAGTGAGATTCCGAGTCGCTTAAGATGTACGCCGGCTTCAATCTGTCTAATGACACCGTGGCAGGCTTTCCTTTGATGTCTAATTTGTAATATTTATCTGACGTTCTAGTACCGTATAGGGTCCTGTGTATGGCGGCTGCAGAGGTTTTCTAATAGCGTCTTGGCGGAGAAAAACTTGATTTGAAGATGATAACTGTTTACTTATGAAAACTGGAGAAGTACCATGATGTATCACAGGCGTTGGTTTGATCTTTCGGATGTAGGCTCTTAGACGGGAAAGAAAATCATTATGGTCTACGACTTCTGTTGTCGAGGTGTTGAAAAATGTACCCGGTAATCGTAGGGGCTTCCATACACCAACTCTGCAGATGACGAACCAACAG